GGATCAGGAGTGGAGTATTATATTTGAGTACGAAATGTCCCTGCAAGCTCATATTTTGAAAACTTATTACCCAGATAGTAGTTTTTTTGGGAGCTGGCAGAAACTCAAGGAAGTTAAGTCCTAACTATAGGAAGGCATTGCGGGGAGTACCTTTGAACTGTGTATCATATCACTAGCACCTTCCTCCTGTCTGCTACCTAGCCACTAGGAGTGAGCAACTTTTCTTGACCACCAATTCCTCCCCTGATGTTCACTCTCATCTCAGATCCAAAGCACCTGGAGTCAACTGACCATGAACTGAAACCTCTTGAAATTGCAAGCCAAAATAAACTCTTCCCCACATGCCAATTCTCAGTATTGTCCCAGGGAAAATAGCTAACAGAAAACAAATAGCAAAATGTGTATAATCGGTGTGCATTGCACATACACCAAAAAAACGTAATTTCTTTAAAAAAAAAAAATGAGTGGTACTGATAAATCCATAAATGGTGGTGCTACTAGAAGGACCAAATTCAGAAGGTAATTCTATACGCAACAAGTGTTATGATCCTGTTAGCACAGAGCACTGTACCTTCCATGATGCATGACCAGAATCAAATTGGGTCAACTTACTAATGAGTGGCTGGTAAGTCCCCTAGGAGAAAGTGTTATGCCAGGGACTCCGTATACTTACCTGGCCTGGCACTCCAGATGAGAGATGTCTTCAAGGTTGCCACGGGTCTTCTTGGTTTCAATGCCTGTTTCTAATTGTATGCTCACTTTGTTTCCAACTACACCTTTAGTCAACTGAAAATACATAACTGACTTTGTCTTTGTATAAAATTATTTTTGCTATAGTGACTTTAGATAATTCACACACTTGGGTTTCTATGGCCATATCCTCTTCATTTGTTGATACTATTGATGTTCTTAATACCCATGTTGACAGTACATATGTCAGATTACTGTTAGTCACTCCTGGCAGTACATATGACAGATTACTGTTAGTCACTTCTTAAATCCATGGTCAAAGAAACTCTTGAATCTAAGTTTTAAAAATATTATTATGACATGGTTAAAAACAATAGGACACAGACATAGTAGCATATCCATGACCTCAGCACTTGGAAAGCTGAGGTAGGATTGCAGATTCCAAGTTGGGCTGCACTACACAATGAGACCATTCTATTGAGCAAAAAATTAATTAATATTAGACTAAAATAAATTATTCAAGCCATGAACATGCTTTTTCTACCCTTTTCAATGCTAACATCTCAAACTACTACAATGCCGTCAAGACCAACAAAAAGTACTGGCATAATACTTGTTAAATTCTATTATATAGGCAGTCATTTGTGTATATATAACACTATGACATTTTGTTGTATAACTCTGAGCAAACACAACCATGACTAAAACAACTTCCTAATATCATTTTATAGCAGAATCCATTTTCTCTCCCAGTCCTAGTTGTTGGCAGTAATGAACCTGTTGTTCAGCCTCACTTAATGAATGGTACAGAAGTGAAATCTCAAGGCATGCATCCTGCTGAGATTTTTTCCCACTTAACTTATTGTTGCATATATCAAGCTTCACATTTAAAAACTACAGACTTGAGACAGGGTCTAGCCAGCCAGCGTCCTTAGGCCCTGGCTGGTGGGAAGATAGCTATGGGCCTGCCACGTGGGTGGGCCTTATTATGATTGAAATATGTGGTAGAGAAATATGAGAAGCAGAATGGTTCACTCGCTGTAGAAGATGCAAAAAAGGAAGAAATGAAAATGTGAGCAATGGGCAAGATGTTGGAGGCCTGCTTGCCACCTGGGTCCATGGTGAAGGAAGTGAGCAGTAGACAGCAGAGAGGTCTGTTTGCCACCTGGGTCCATGGTTCAACTGCAGATGAAGTCTATGTTGATGCTAGGCCATGTGTCACCAAAGGCCACATTAAGTGTGGGGTCTGGGCTGAAACCTGTGGCTTTATTGGTGTCCAGGGGCCATGTTGTTGTCAGCCAGAACAATCCTGATCTGAGTGGTCAGGACTACCACTCAGAGCTAATATGTTGACCAGGTGGAGCTGCTGCCTAGGGCCATGTCTGGGTGTGTGGCCCAAGTTCCCTCTAAGGCCCACACAGAGGACTGGAATCTGGGCCAGAGTCTGCAGGCCACACCACAAGAGGGGCCATACAGATATGGGTAGCCTGTATTGCCACCCAGAGCCATTGTGCCATTCAAGCCCAAGCTGCTACCGAAGGCCATATAAGCCTGATCACTAATTCACTGGTGTGTTCATGCCTTAGGAAAACTATGAGCTAATTAACTTAATTTCTTCACAAAATACCCAAATACAGGAAACTTTTCATTAACAGAAAATAGACACACATAACAAATTTTTTATTGTTGTTTTGGTTTTGCCTTTTTTCTACCAATTTACCAGAGTGCTGCTCCATTTTATATGTATATCAGCAATGTAAGAGCAATCTAGGGGTTCAGCAGTTAAAAATCACTGGCTGCTCTACCAGAGAATCTCGAGTTTGGTTCCCAGAACCCATGAAGTGGCTTGTAACCATCCTCAACTCCAGTTCAAGGAAATCTGGTGATTCTTCTGGCCTTCAGGCAGTGTACATATATACATGCAGGCAAACATTCATACACTAGAATAATAAAAAGAGCGATTTGGTTTTTCCCTTCTTTTGTCAGCCCTTAGTGTTATCACTACTTTTTTTTTTTTTTTTTTTTTTTTTTTTTTTTTTTGGTTTTTCGAGAAAGGTTTTCTCTGTGACTTTGGAAGCTGTCCTGGAACTGTAGACCAAGCTGGTCTTGAACTCACAGAGATCCTGTTAATCTACAATCTGTTTTCAAATCCCTTTAACTAGGTTTTATATAAAACTTTATTTTTATGTAATATGGATAGTCCAATAATGGCTTTCTCACATTGGAGAGGCCAAGAAGCAGGTCAGATCACAACTTTTCCTCAGCAATCCAATTCTAGGCTGAATGCCTGAAACAAGTTTTCAGGTTTTTTGAGACAGGGTTTCTCTGTGTAAAAGCTCTGGCTGTCTTAGAACTCCTCTGTAGATCAGGCTGGCCTCAAATTCAGAGATATCTGCCTGCCTCTGCCTCAGTTCTGGTTTTAAGACATGTACCACTACTACCCAGCCACTTTTGTGACAGGGTCTCAGTCTTAATATTAATAGCCCAGGCTTACTTCAAACTCACAGTGTCAGGCTTGCTTCAAACACAATGATCCTCCTGCCTGAGCCTCCCAAGTTCTGAAATTATACATAAGAATCATTATACCTCACTTTTTAATTTTAATGAGATAAAATTTAGCCAATTTTCTTTGTTAAGCCTAAGAATTCTTTATTTAAGTCCTAGCTACTAAACATTTCTTTCTCTCTTTCTTTTCTTCCTTCCTTCCTTCCTTTCTTTTCTCCCCCTAAACAAAAATTGAGACAAAGTCTTGTGGTTTTCTTAGATGGCCTTCTGACTTAAGCAACCTTGATGCCTCAGCATCCTCAAAAGTGGGTACTATAGGCACATGCCAACCTAGCCAAACTTTTCTATAACTGTTATAGTTTGAGCTTTATATGGATGCCAGCCCACCCCACCCCTTTAACTACAAAGTATGAGATTTAGGTTGAGCCCCATAGTAAATGAAAAAGGAAAAAAAAAAAAAAAAAAAAAAAAAAGCACCATTTATTATAAAGGCTATTCTGATGGTCAGTGTTGTCAAAGAGGAATGGGCCTCTGGACATGAACAGGAACTAAGGTAGAAACTTACCTGTTGTGGTATAGAATATTTGTTTAACTATGTAAAGATGTGTTGCATTTGTTTGTGTTGCAGAGTAATTGTTTATCTATGTAACAATGAATTGCATTTGTTTATGCTGTATTTGTTAAACTATATAAAGATGTGTTGCTTTTGTTTATGGTGTATATTTTTATCTATGTAAAGATGTGGTGCTGTTTCACCTTGCCTGCTTAAGATACCTGACTGCTCTAATAAAAAGCTGAATGGCCAATAGCTAGACAGAGGAAAGATAGGTGGGGCTGGTGGGCAGAGAAAAAAGGGAGTCTGCCTGCCAGGGACTAGTCAGAAGCCAGGGGCCAGCCATCCAGGCAGGGGCAAGCAAGCAAGACATGGAAGAAGCAAAAAAGCATATGGATGCTAGGAATCAAACCTGGTTATTCCGGGAAGTCCAAAAAGTCCTTTTAACCTCATCTCACTAGCCCCTAGATCTTCACTTTTTGTTGGCTGGCTATGTAGGAATGGGGTTCCTAAAATGAGATTTTTAGTTGTTGCTTCCTTCCATTCATCATTTTCCTTATTATTAGTTATACTGCAAAGATGAACAATCATACCTGAAACTAACTTCAAGCCAGAGGAACTGTCTGAAGTATGGACTGATTAGGGAGGAAGGGGTCTAGTACTTATTTAGAAAACATCCAGTTTTTAGCCTCTGAAACTTCTTATACATTATTCAGATGGTTTAATAATTATATCTGAAAGTTCATAAAAAGTAAAAACTGCTCGGTATATCAAAATTAATACTTCCATGACTTGGCAGGTGCTTTTTCAAACAGAAAAAAAAAATCTTTCTAATACATTTAATAATTAAGCTGGGCAGTGGTGGCATACGCCTTTAATCTCAGCACTTCAGAGGAAGAGACAGGCAGTCTCTCTGTGAGTTCAAGGCCAGCCTTGTCCATAAAGTGAGTTCCAAAACAGCTATAGCTGTAACACAGAGAAATCCTGTCTCCCGCTACCAACCCCCCTCCCAAGGCAGTTTTTTACTCAAACTTACCTTGGCCAAACATGATGTTATCTCATTAGGCAGAAAAACTATACAATTAATAATCTGACCTGTCTACATGGATGGCTGAGACAAAGTACATCATGTTATTACTTCTAGTAACACATGAAAAACTGCCAAATAGCCTAAATCACAGGTTGTAGAGAAGAGCCTTATCTATAACCAGAGGCAAGCAAGTCTTTACAAATCAATACAAACACAACAGTGTTGAAATATACAGTAGGAACATTTATTTCAACACTTCTAAGAGGTATCTTTCCATGACTGATGATTTGATATAAAAATCAAATCCATCATACTTTTCTCATCAGTTTTTCTACATTAAGGGCAATCAAAAATTTGTACAACATGAATATGTTTCAGAAACAGAAATTACAAATAGAATGATAACAAAAATACACAAATCAACTGGACCCTAAATGAATTTCTAATGAATTTTTTCCTCCTTTCCCCATCACCTAGAGCTTCTTTCTTCGGTCTCATTCTGCTCCTTTTCCTTTCTTTGCTTGGCCATGAATTTCTGTTAAAAGCAATTTTAAATGAAATATTTGTTAGATGTTGTTTGCTATGTTTGCAATCCTAAATGTATCTCATTATATTTATAATCTAAAAAAGTGTCTTAATTAACATTCACCCCTTTCACTACTCATCCTTCTGATATTTGATGATATGCCAGGCATTATGTTTTGGGCTTGGGAATTTAGTAGTGAATAAGACAAATTAGGCATTTTCCAGGTGCTTACACTATAATATAGGAACTGAAGAGAAGAAAAACTGAAATCACTGTAGGTAGTAATCACTCTATTTATAACAAGAAGAAAGAAGCATGGTCATGTGCCCATTGTTGGGTTTGATCACTAGCATGACAAAATTAAAATAGTAACAGAGGAACTAGGTAGATCTATCTTTTGTAGACATAGGATGGAGTTTGCTTTCTTCATTTTTGGTTTTATGAGAAATGTTTCTATGTAGTCATGGCAGTCCTGAATTTACTACATAGACCAGGCTGTCTTCTAATTTACACAGATCCGCCTGCCTCTGCCTCCCAAGTGCTGAAACTAAAGGTGTGTGCTACCACAACTGGCTCTGCAGTTTGCTTTCTTAAGCAAAGTCCTTTCTTAGCAGTTAATATTTAGGTAGAGACCAAAAGATAGGGAAAATTGGCCACATAGGAATAGTAATTAAGGCAATGGCATAATGGCAACTGAGGTCTTGGATACAAGGAAGAAAATAGTAATGACAGATTTCAGAGGCACAGAAAAGCAGGCCAAGCAGTCCACAGAGCCACAGTCAGTGTGGCTATTATTTCAAGTGCCATATGAAATAGTTGCAAGATTTTAACTTTTGTTCTTATTATATAGCCCCATTAGCTTGGCACTCTGTTGATAAACCATCCTCAAACTCAAGAGATCCACCTGCCTCTACTGCCAGATTGATGGGAGTAAAGGTATATGCCACCACATCTGGCCCCAGCTGCAAGGTTTTAAATGGAAAAAAAAAAAAAAAACCAAAACAAACAAACAAAACAAAACAACAACAACAAAAAACAGGATATAGAAGGTTAAAAGCACACAGAGAAGATAAAATGTGTGAGAGATTAGACCTAGAATTAAACAAAGCTGGGTAGAAACCCATGGTCTGCCACTAACCAGGTTGGTTTTTAGGAGTTCAATACATAGACTATATGAAACAACCTTAGACATTTAGAAGTCAAAACTACTGATTCCCATGGCTAAGAGTAACTCTCTAGAGCAGCACCTCCTTAAACATACACAACAACAACAACAACAACAACAACAACAACAAAAAAGGATGGTCTGTGACTCAGTTTAAAAACTGACATTTTTCTTCTGACTAGAAATTTAGAAATTTTAATAAGCTAACATGAACAGACATTTGCAATGGGACATCGGAATAAGCAGAACCTTATATTTTATAGGAGGTGCACAAGATACTACTGCTTACCAAGTCTATTCTAGAGAATGCTATTGCTCCAGGAAAAGTATATCATAGCAACATAAAATGACATAGAAAAACAGGAATTTTGGACTTAGGAGCAACAAACTGTGATAAATATCCCAGTTCTCACAAAAGAAAAGAAATATACATGTTGAACAGACTCTTTAAATAAAAAGATAGTGACAACGCTTAAGATTTTTAAGCATTACCTCAGTATTTTGCTTATGACGTTTGCTCTTGCAGTGGTTTGCCATTGCTTTTTCATCTGAATAGAACAGGGAGCAAATTGGACAGAAAAATCCAGCCTTCGGAACAAGAAAGTCCAAATCTAGAAGACAGGAAGAAAGGGAAAGATTAATCCACTAAAAGCATGTCAATTACTTTATGTAAATCTGGGATAGAACCTAGGGCCTCAAACATGTTAGTCAGGTACTCTACCACTTGGCTAAAATCCCCCAGCAGTACAAAACATGTATCTTTATTTAGAAATATGTAACATATTCCAAGTCCTCCAGAGAAGCCAGAATGCTACTGCACAGTAGGCTGAAGAATCTGAGAATATAAAAAAAACATCTTAGAAACACCCTGTTAAAGTAGAAAGTGGGATAAGAGCAGAATGATGGGCTGCTAAACAACCAAAAGCTTCTCAATTCAGCTGAGTAGTCTCTAGCAAAGTTTGCTATGGAAGCTTTTTAGCTTGTTTTGCCTAATTGGAATTTCTGCTTGGGGAAGTATAACTCAGTTTTTACCAAAGTAACAAAGGTACAAGAAAGAATAAAGGAGGCATATCTCAGCCTTCAAGAACGAAATAGAAATATCCATGTCAGGTTAAAAAGAACAAAACAAATCTACATAAGCTGTATTCAGAAATACCAAGCAAGGTTAACTTGCTCACTTTTTTATTTGAGAGGAATAAGAAAGAAAAATGTCATTTTTACTTTACCTCCCGGCACATCAGGTGTCACTGATTTTCCTACAGAAGAGTCTTCGGTCTTCTTGCGTTTTTCATCAGGTTCTGAATCCTTTAATTCAGCTTCTTCAACTGAAGAAGTTAAAAAGTTCAAGGAAAAACATGAAGTTATTTAAAATAGATTTATAGACTTCGTGAAAATAATGTTGGATACTTTTTGATTTCTAAAACTAACTTAAAACTCATGGAACAACACCTTAAGTTAACAATGATTCCCTGATCTAAGAAGGAAATGAGTAAATGTTTAGATATATTCAATGAACATAGGAGAAATAGGGCTAAAGCCAATGTAAACCAACATTTATGACCAACAGGGAGGATATTGGGCACAATGTAAATATACGTTGTGTGACAATGATCATGTTCCTCATTTGTATCAAATTAATTATTACTAATGCTGTCTAGACATTCTGTTTAATTTACTGGTTTCCTGGAAGCGAACATAAAAAACAGATAGTTACTACAATATTGTTCCCAGATGCTGCAACATGGTCACAAAAGCCTCATGAGTAAATTCCACAAATATTTTCTGTTCTAGTGTCATTGACCCAAAACCTCTCTAAATTATGAAATCCCTAAGATCATACATGCCTGCCTGCTGCCTTTCTAGTTTTTTGTTTGGTTATCTGTGAAACCTCTACCATCATCTCATGTTATGTGGTTTTCTCCACACCCAAACAACCCCTTTACTTCTTTTACTCATTTGGAAGGCTTCTTTGCCTTTTGCTGGTTCTGCCATTATAGCTTTTTGTGAGCATGCTGCTTCCCCAATTCTAACTCTCTTCACTGGTGTTTTAGCTTTAAGAAGAAAGCCTAATTTATTGCTCCATTAATAGTACTTAAATTGCTCTAAATTTAACATATTAAACTATCTAGTAATTCTAATATTTGTTATAATGGGGAGAGTGCCTTTTTGGTTTTTTGTTTTTGTTTTGTTTTGTTTTGTTTTTTCTGAGACAGGAACTTGCTTATGTAGCTGAAACTGAGTGCTGGATTATAGGCATGTGCCAGTACACTTCATAAAGAAACCCATTTCTAAATAGAAACCTATTTTATTATACTTTACTTGCATTGGCATTTTGCCTCCATGTATGTCTGTGTGAGGGTGGGGGGTCACCAGGAATTGGTGTTACAGACAGTTGTAAGCTGCCACATGGGTGCTTAGAATTGAACCCAGGTCCTTTGGAAAAGTAACCAGTGTTCCCAACCACTTAGCATCTCTCCAGCTCCTTAGAAATCTATTCTAAAAAGCAGTTCTGTCAAAATAATCTATGTTCCCATTTGTGTTCTGAGCAAGTATTCCTTTTTATTTTTTTCAAAGTGGCTATACACTTTTCCCTGAATGGTCAATACAGTGAAATGTTCCTAGCATTCCATTCTTAGTTTGGTTAAATTTTCAAGGTTTTTGTTATTGTTTTGCCTTTTATTTCCTCCCCCCCACCCCCCAAGACAGGGGTTCTCTGTATCGCAGCCCTGGCTGTCCTGAAACTCACTTTATAGACCAGGTTAGCCTTAAACTCACATTGATCCACCTGCCTCTACCTCCTGAGTGCTAGTATTAAAGGTGTGCTATACCACACCCAGATTTCTTTTTTAAAATCTTTACAAAGTAAATATTCATTAATATTGAATAATTTCATTTATAACATCTAAGGAAACAAAATAAACTACTGTTTGAATTCTGTCTCACCAAGGTGATTCTATTCTATAACACAGTATGTCAGCTTGGTTTAGTTTTCTTATAAGAAATTACTTTTGTCTCTCTCATGTTCTGTAAGTAAGTAAGCTGCTCACTTATTCCACATCGCCAACATATTACACTATGCCAGAAGTGGTGACTCTCACATGTAATCTTGGCACATGGGAGGCAAAAGTATACCAAGTTCAAGGCTACATTTTGAGTTCTAGGCCAACAAGGGCTAAAGAGTTGTTTCAAAAGACCAACATCTGGCAGGTGTGGTTATTCACAATGTTAATTTCAGAACTCAGGAAGCAGAGATAAGCTGATCTTTGTGAGCTCAAAACTGCCTGGTCTACATATGTAATTCTAGCCCATAAAGGGTCCCAGTGAGACCCTGACTTTATATAGATATAGTTGAACAGTACCTCAATGATTTGCTCTCCTGCTTGTTTTATTCTAAACCCAAGTTTAAGCCATAAGTAGGAGGCAGTGTGATATGCATACTGTCCTGCTCTTTAAAAGCTTGTTTCCCCATACATACAGTTTTCACTGTAGCTCTGTACTGGATGCTTTTGGTTTGTTTTTTGGTTTTGCCATCCTTTCTTGAGGTATAACAACTTGGGATTATCTGTGCTCTGTAAACTAAGAGAAATGTGTGCAACCTGTACTTGTTTCTGGGAAAACTTCAATGCTACTGGCTTACGGATCATCAACACGATGATATTACTAATACTGAAGCACAGAGTTCAAACCAGTTTTAAATATAATTTCATAAAACAGAAAAATGAACACTTTCAAGTATCTACCTGCCGTAGGTCTTTCAATCATGGCTTTCAGATCTTTTGTAATAGTCTCACTTCCTGGATCTTCTTGGGAGAAAGATTCAAGTTTTGTCTTCTTTGTGTCCATAGCTCTCCTCTTTCTATTTCCTTTTTTATCTGTGTAGGGGTCAGTTTTGCCTTGTGCTAACACAACTTTTGAATCGTTGTCTCCATCCTCGTCATCTCCAACTTCATCCACAGTAACAAAATTAAGCTCTTCTTTAAGATTCTTAAAATCTGCCAGAGATTCTTCATCCTCTTCAGTTACTTCATCCAAAGTCACTAAATGGAAATCACTTCTGTCATCCTGTATTTCATCTACAGTAACTAAAGCAGAAGGGTCTTCAGGCATCTGGGAAGAAATGAACCCAATAGAATCCCTTACAGTAGTAGTTCCTTCATCTCTTTTTAAATTCAAAGTAGCAAAAGGTATGTCTGCTGACTCTTCTACTTCTCCAATTTCATCCACAGTTACCAAGCGTTCCTGTTGCAGATCTTGTTCTTCAGCCATGGACAGAACAGTAACATCTTTAGGTTCACTATGGGAAACACAATCATCTTGGTCAATTAGCTCATCTAAGGTAAGAAGGGAGTTAGAATTTTTTACCATTTCTTCCACATTGAGCTCTTCCTCATCAATGACTTCATCCACAGTGACTAGTGCTTGTGCAGCTGCATCTTCTTCTTCCCCAATTTCATCTAGTGTTACAAAGGACAGTTCTCCCTCAACACTGTGAGGGACAGACGTTTCCCCCTTTTTCTTCTTTAAGTTAAGTTCGGCGGAAGGAGGAATTTTGATAGTTTCTTTTCTCTTTCCTTTTAATGGATTCTGCTTGGCTTGAGAAGGATTTATGTCTTCTATGACTTCATCCACAGTAACAAATTCATCCAAATTAAATGTAAATAACGGTTCCTGTTGGAAAGTTAAGAATCAGTATAGGATCTGTGACTGACTATGCACTACTAGTCACAGTAAACTAATATGCAGAACATCCATGAGAATTACATTGTAAAGCCATTTCCTGTAACTAAAATAAATGTTATATTTTAAAGGGTTCCTAAGTGATGAAGCTAGCAAGAAGGCTGTCAGTAAAGGTGCCTGCCACCAAGTCCAACAACCTCAGTTTCATACCAAGACCTAAAGGGATAAGGAGAGAAGTGACTAATCCAAACTGTCCTCTAATCTCCATGTAAAAGCACTTACATATGAAAATATGTAATATGCATACACAGCATACAAATAATTTATACTTAAAAACTACATTTAAAGCACTTGTCAAAACAATTCAAACAATCTATTGTTCCATATGTGAAGTATCTAGCAAGTGTTTACTACTAGACTTCTAAAAGCACCTCAAACAAAAATAAAAATAGTTAACGATATCAATTAATTTAGATATATTTTGTATTTTGACTTATATAATGCTATGAAAGTTTAAAAGTTTTATATTGATAAAATTTCTGAAAAGATTACTAAGACTTCATGGTTAATATAATTGCATTTGAAAACATTACTTTAAAACTGGTACCACAGTAAATAAATTTCCAGTAGGTTTCTGGATTTAGTAGTTGTCAATGATCCAATGCTAATATACATGGCAATAAACTATTTAGTCTACTTCAGTAACAATACCAAAGAGTTTAGTGGCAGGATATAACATGAAGCATTTAACCCCTTATCCTGTGTCCTATATCTTTCACTCTTTCAACTTACATGTTAACTATGAAAAAATAAGTGTAATTATGTAAGATAGGTGGGTACTGCTATGGAAGGATGGATATAGAAAATGTGGATGTTTTCATTTTACCTCTTTTGATTTTGAACTTCTACCAGTAGTATTTTTAGAATTCTTAGTGGTCTGCAAAGCCAATGCCTAAAGTATTAAGAAATAGAGAAAAACAGAGTTTATACCCAGATTATTAATGTTCTATAAAAAAGAGAAAACATAACCAGCAAATATCCAAATATGGCAATCATGCAAATACTTAACAAGTACAGAAAACTAAGTCAGTAATCATTTAATGGTATAAGCACAGTCTCTAAGTTATAACTAAATTCAGTTTCCAAGTCTTTTTTTCCTCTTTGCCCACAATGTCTAAGTTAGGCAATCAGTGAACTGATACAGGAAGTTTCAATTTCAGAGGAATGGGAATGCCAAATCATTTTTCTAGAAGCCACTACAGACCTTCCCTTTAAATCAGTTCTATTTCCGAACAAATTTCAATTCAGCCACATTGGTGACCAAGCAATACTTTCCAAACATGTGAGTAAATGGGAACTTTGAGTTCACCAGTTTAAATCAATGAAATTGTTTCAGAAATGGAAACAGGAGCTTGGGGCTAGAGTGAAGAGATGAAAGTGTGAGTCAAAACTACACTTTCTACTTCACAGCTATAGCAGCAGAGCTATGCACTTCAAAGATACACCGAGTCATTCTTCTACTCTCCTCACCTTATTGTTGCTGTCATCCCGTTTCATGACGGCAAGTTTAGTCTCTGTTTCCTGAGATTGTTTTGTTATGTCCTTGTAATCCAGTTTAGAATCCTTGCACTGAAGGGCTGAGATCCTTCCACTGCATCCTCTGTTAATACCACTCTGAATGGATTTGGCTTTATTGTTGCTTTCAGCTAAGTCCGATCTGGTATTTTTAAGCAGACCAAATTCCTTGGCTGAAACTTTCTTTTCAGCATTTATTTGCTCTCTAAGCAGGGGTTTTGGAAAATTTTTCTGACTTTCAGTTTTGGAAGTTGCACTTTTTGCTTTAGGGGAAGACACCATAGCAGCCTTGATGCTTGTTTTATTACTACATACATTCGATAAAGTCAGCACGCTAGTTTTTCCAGTTTCATCAGGCTTACTGCTCTCACCCACTCCTTTATTTGGGTCTGCCTTGATTATAGCACTTTCTACTGGCTTTTCTCTTATTGCTGCTATAATCTTCTCCAATTTTTCTACAAACGTGTCAGCTTCATTCTTCTCAGCCTTTTCTGCTTTTACTTGTAAATCCATTCCAGTTTCCTTACTATGAAATTCATTTTCCTCCTTGTCATCCATGCTACCTTTTTCAGAAGTATCCTTTTTGCTCACAACCTTCTCACCCTTAATGTAACTTCCTGGCACTTGGGTCACAACACAAGCAGATGGCAGTACTTCAGAAACAGTTTTGTGTTTGTCCACTTCAGCTATGGCTTCTACCATGGGCCGTGCAGTTCCAGAAAATACATCTTCTGCTTCAGACAGAGAATCTTCTGGAATTCCCTTGATGTTCCCTTCTTCTATGAAGACACTGTCAGATACTGATAATTCTGTTTCAGAGTTTGTAACTTCTGCCTCTTCCTTCACAATGTCACTGGTGTACATCTGCTGATTTAAAGCAGATTCCTCTATATTTTCGCTGAATAACTCAATATTGGCTGGAGTGGATGCTACAAGAGGAATTTCTATGCTGACCTCTGCTCCTTGAGCTTCCAGTTCCAGTGTTTCAATTGCAAAGTCAGACTCATACAATGCTTGTTTGGGTTCTTCCTTACCAAGTTCTTCCTGCTGCACTGAAGTTTCTGTTTCATTATTGCAAGTAGTTTCTTCTTTGGCCTCACTAGGTTTAACAGAGGGACTATCCGCTGCTGTTTGTACCTCACTTTCATCAACAGGACTGTTTTTCAAGTCAGGGCTAAAAGTACTTAAAAACAAACAAAAAGAACACAAAAACAAACAAAAATCAAACTATGATGAGAATTCAATCATTGTAAATAATCCTGTTGATGCCAACTGTAAGTTTTCTGATGCACAAATACTAAGCACTGGGAAATTCAGCCAATCAGCATTAAAGTGGCTAAGATATTCTGATGGAAATCAGAAGGCGAAAGATCTAAGAGGAAATAACAGCAAAACTAGGATTGTTGGTATCTTCCTTTCAGTTGTATATATTAATAGTTTTTTTCACTCCAGTTTCAAGTTTGGACTTGAAAAGGTCGAAAAAAATTGATATATCTCAAATTATTATTAGGCCCAATATTCATGACATAGGTAACTAAACAAAATGTGTACAGTTCTACAATAAAGCTAGTGATCCACAAATGGAAATTCAAAATGTATAGGTGAATTTTCATAAAAAGGAAATTGGAATTGCCATGAAGGGTAATGCCACTTAACTATTTTACCTCCTTGTTAGATGCAAAAGACCTACTTTTAGTTGTCAAAATGATGTACTTATGAATGATAATACTTAAAAGAAGCTTTTCTTTTTAAAGGACCTACATACCTTTGGGAGATTTAAAATATTAACTGTTACAACCACCTTAACAATGAACATACAATCTTACTACCAACAAACTGCTCACTCAGTTATTTTATAGTATTTCAATTATTCAGAAGAAATGGAGAAAATGCATGGGTATGTAATTATGTTATGTTGGCATGGTCTTCCCAAATCCATAATAAGCAAAAATATATGATTTTCTAATTCTACAACTTTCACAGAAACAGAATCAGAATAAACTATTTTAACATTCCATATCTGAAGTTGTCTTGGAAGAAAAGAGTTTTTGTGAAGACTATGTCTAACCCAATCAAAAAATACATCTCCATACTTTTGTTTAGAAGCCACTAGAAAGTGATCATACCACATTAACACCTCAGTACATTTTTCTGTCCCGAGATGTTACTTTTATTTCAAAGATTTGGAAAAGATGCTAATTGCACCCCACTGGGGTCTAGTCATTTCATTAAATAAACTGGTTCTCCCCGAATAACTGTTAAGTTATGAGAAGTTTATGAACATCGAGTAATCATAGATCCTAATAACAATACATTCTAATTTCTGTGTAAGCTATTCAATATATTGAAATACTTCCATTTGAAATTATCTTCTCTAACATTGAAGGTAACAATGGCTCATATTGATGTTCCAAATTCTTGGAACTAAAGCAGAATCTGTAGCCAAGCACAAATATGACAAAGAAACAACAGTGACATTCATAGTTACATGGATATTTCTCAAAATACAAACTTTTGAAATTAAAGATTCATACCAATAATAAAGAATAAACAAACTTAAACTCCTGTTCCATTACTGAGCTATATATTAATCCTAAAAATCGACACATTGAACTATATACAAACATTTATGAGGCTGAACAAACATGAAGAGTTTTTTTCTGTCTATCAAGACTTTCCCATTTACCACATTTAAAGTTTATAAACAGTTATCATTTACACAAAGAGTAACAATTGAACCAGAACACAGGCCTGTTTAAGATGGTTCAATTCCATATTATGCTTTTGTGCCAGCCATTTTAAATTTGTGTGTGTGTGTGCGTGTGTGTGTGTGTGTGAGCCTTCTAGAATTTATGTGCACTATGTGAGTGCCCTTCGAGGATAAAGGACAGATGGCACTATGCTCCTGGAGCTGAAACTACAGACAGTTGTGAGCCTCCATACAGGTTCTGGGAATCAAACCTGGGTTCACGTCTAAAAGAACAGCAAGTACTCTTGATTGCTGAGCCATCTTTCCAGCCCCACTGTGCACTAGTCTTTAAGAATTAGTGTTTTTTTCATAGAAATTGTTTTAACAAAACTGTATATTGGCTAGAATGAAAGGAAAGTTTCAATGTTAATCGATTTAGTTTGGAATGCCATTGGGATATCAAATAAATCACATTAATATCAGAAATAAAATGTCAATTTTTGTTTGTTTTTAAGAGATCAAAGGAAAACAGTTACATTCTTAGAGACATCGCAAAAAACAGTTCCGGAAAGGTATTTAGCACAAAGGTACCTAATATCCTACTTCCAACTCTACCAATTCAGAATTTCACAAAAGATTACAATAAAAGTTAGGCATTAACATAAAGAATGACAACATTAGGATAAGATTTAACGATACCAAAAATTAATGTTTATTTGAGAATTCCACCAGGTATTTGCCAAAATTAATGAATAAGGGAAATGTCATCTAGTATCCTTATTTAAAGTCTTTCCAGTGACACATAAATAGGATGAGAATGAAGAATACTGTAAATTATTACTAAACTGTGAATGTGGAATTTCCTCTAAGTAATCTATGAATAGAATATACGTTAATTAGAAACAAAAGAATCATACTTCAAGATGAACTGGCAAATACACTTAAAAAAATTCAACAAAATTTTTGCTTTTTGTTGTTTTTAAAGTAAAACAAATACCAGCATTTCCTGAGTGTAAGTCTTTTTCAAAAAGTTATGTTAAGTACTTGACTATATCACACATCATTTTGTTACTATTTTTTTCTCTGTAATACAAGTCAGAAAAAAATGACAGCAAAATTGTAAGTTTTTTTTAAAAAAAAAACACGTTAGCAAGATAGAAACTGTTAACGTGAATATTTTGAGGTTTTAAATTAACTTGTCAATATTTTGAGTTTTTAAAATAGGCAAAACCAACAAAAATAGACAATAACCCATCGCTTCTGATTTTTTAAAAAAAAGCCTTTTGTTTTAAAAAAATGTTACAAAACAGAATACACAAAAATGAACTTTGGGGGAAATGTATTTCTTGTCATCAACACAGCAAACTGTAGGTCTGTGCATACGATCTACAATGTAGAGTCTTAGCCTAACTATGGAAGGCTGAGCTGGGTCCCAGGAAGGATAAGTGAGCCACTGGCCTGTTTCCTGCCTCCCAGGATCCCAGAGAGAATCAGATATAGTGAGGAGTCAAGTCAAGCAGAAACTTGCCTAGGTGCCCTATGATTCCGATCCATTCATGAAGTAAACTCATCTGGTTTGATCTTGGCAACCAATCACCTTTTTTTTTTTTTTTTTTTTTTTTTTTTTTAGTAAACATCTCAGGACTCGCCCACCACTTGATTTCCCCTTGGAGCTATCTTTGACTGGTTTGTGTGCCCTTCAGATTCCCCCTTTTTGTTTTATACCATGGCCCACCTCATTTCAAAATAAGGGAGTCTTGGCACCTCCACAGAGGTTCACCTCTTACATCACCTTTTGTCAAAGTTCACTAAAATAGGAGATATCCTCAGAGCTAAGCCTATCACAATGTACAGGAGGGGTCATTAGTTGGATCTCTTGAAACTGTTCTGATTAGTCTGACCAACCTATTGAAAAGGCAAGGTCCAAAGAAACAAATTAAGGTTATTATAAAGGGACCCAAAAGAGCAGAAACCGGGGTCGTTAATGGCCTAATGAGCTGGGGGGGGGGGCGCTTGTGTTAGCTAGACTGTTCTTTTAATGGTAAAGAGTAAGTAACCCTTGGTCTTGTCCCTTTTGATAATAGTCGGAACCCTCACATCATCCCAATTTCCCAATGGGGAATCCTCTTTCCCTCTTTAGTAATAGTAATTTTATGAGGGTTACACCAATACGATATACATTTCCCTTACAGAGGATTCCTGGGGAGCTTGGGATGATTCATCCACTTGACCTTAATGGGCCTGCTCTGCCTTATCTAAGAGCCTGTCTAGTTTTTCTCACACCCCTATTGTGCACAGTAGAAGACATTTGCCCTACCACATTTGGATAGTCCGCTACTATTTGATTGCTCCTCAGGCATATGTAAAAGTCAGTGTCCCATAAGGCTGCCCTACTGGGAACATGTGAGCAGTCTGGCAATTGGGTGTCTGATACATGGGGCAGGTGAAACCCCCTACAACTCTCCACATTCAGACTGCTTGATGAAGAGGGTTTCAGTCTCCCACGTCCCAAGATCTTCGGGCTTGGTCGCAGAGGTCGAAGAAGAGTGTGGGCCACCAGGTTGGGGGACTGCCTCATTTGTGGTACTGTTGAGGACATCTCCACTGGCAGCATTGACCATTCACATCACCTTTTTGGGATGATGAAGGTTCTCTTTGGTGGTCACTGAAGCAGTCAGCATCAGCAGTGGGAGTGTTAGAGCAGTCAGGATGGCTAGGTATCATTGTACTAGCCCTCTTATTTCTGAAGATGAGCTTTGACCACCACTGCTTCTTCCTTTCCTTGTTGGTAAACCTGTTCTTGATCATCCTTATGCATTTTGAGAACAGTCAGAAATTCTAGATTTCTGGCCTGAAGCTAAATGGGTGGGCGCTTCCTCCCCCCACGGGAAAGACATTTCCACATCCTCTCCCCATTGTAATTAACAGATCTGGGTACCTCCATTGGAATGTTAGGTCTTTCCATTTGACTTTAACTGAGGGTTTGGGGTTTAGGCCCCACAACGTTTTTGGAACTTAGATTTAGTTGTTCCCTTAAAAAAAATTTCAAAATATTAACAGTAAGTAAAGCCATTCCTAGTTGTAAATGGGGACTGATTCCCCCTTTTGGTTTTAGAAGTTGTTCTTTAAAATATTGATGGTTTCTTTCTACAACTGTTTGTCCCTGAGGGTTGTAAGGGATTCCTGTAGTATGTCTTTTGTGCCATCTATCAAAAAATTCTGCCATAGAATTACTGGCAAAGCAAGGGCCATTATCAGTGTTATGGGCTGAAGGCCTATAGCATTAACTCCTGGTGGCTATAGAGGGGGAACTCTTAGATATGTTTAACATGATTTGCAGGTATACTATCATTTTTAAGAAAAATTGGGAATCTATTATGTAGTCCCCTCCAACTGACATGGGTCATATCTCATGCAATTGGGTGGCTTCCTGTAGGATTAGTGCCTCTGGGGCTGTTGCCGGCCTATCTGCCCATTCATTACCCGTAGTCAGGAACCATGGAAGGCTGGAGTGCCCCCAAAGGTGTTGAAGGTAAATTGATGCCTCTTGACCCTCTAAAAGGGCCTTAAGAGACACCATGGGGGAGGGGGAAGATATATGGTTATAGATTCAGGCATCTCCAGAACAGGCTTTAGAGGGCTAGCCTGTGTAGGCATGAGGGTTATACATGTGGCCCAAGTACTTAGAAGGGGGTCATCTTTCCTGCGGCCATAGTAAAGCCCCCTTTTTTAAGCAATTGGAGCTTTCTGGGCCACAAAGCCCTCCAGATATGCTGGATCCCGATGTCCCAAAATTAAATCATCCATATAAGCATATGTTATTGAATCCTTTGACTTTAGCAGAGGCCTTAAGAGAGTAGCAAGGTACTGTTGACAGAAAGTCGGGCTATTAGCCATTCCTTGTGGTAGCACTACCCATTCAAAACAATGATTAGGTTTGGAATAATTAAGTGAAGGAACAGAGAAGGCAAATTTATCACAATTCTCTGGATGTAGTAGTATAGAAAGGAAGCAATCCTTAATAGCAATTACCATAAATGTTATGTTCTGTGGGACTAGCAGGGGTCCAGGGCATGCCCCTTAAGGAGGTGCACACCAGTTCCATCCTCTCACTTATCTTGCACAAATCTTGGAACATGTGCTAAGCCCCGGGCACCTTTTGAATTACAAACACCGGGGTGTTCCATGGGCTCATAGAAGAGTGGATATGTCCGAACCTAGCTGGTGGAGCACTAGCAACTTAGGCTTAGTCAGTGGCCACTGTTCTACCAATACAGGTTTTCCCAGTTCCCATCTGATAGGCGGCACTCGGGGGTCAGTTGCCCTTATGATTGGGGGTAGACCCAGATAGGCCTCTCAGGCTCCCCACTGTAGTTGGGAAGGTTGAAAAAAATCCTTGATGTCCCTTCTGCTTTCCTGGGGTGTGTGTATGTGTTGTTGTTGCTGCTGTTATTGTTGTTTATAAGCCTATTAAGAGTATTCGGGGCTGGAAACATGGTTCAGTAGGTAAGTTAAGACTGAGCTGGGTCCGAGGAAGGATAAGTGCACGGTTCCACAGTTCCCCAGCCTCCCAGGATCTCAGAAACAATCAGACATAGTGGGGAGTCTAGTAAAGCAGAAACTCATTTATTCCCCCATAGCAAGCATCTTTTAAAGCAAAAAAACAAAGGGAGGGAAAGCGGCCAGCCAACAGTTTTAAATGTCAACCTATCACACACCCAGGAGCCCTATGCTTTACCTGGTAAAACGGAGACATTCGTGCATTGACGTCATCTGGTTTGATCTTGGCAACCAATCACCTTTTTTTTTTTTTTTGCAAACATCTCAGGACTCACCCTCCTCCTGACTGGCTCGTGTGCCCTTCACTATATGTCACATTGTTATTTATTAAGCTCTCTGTGAACTTGCATGTGAATTTTACTGGTTAAATGATAAGCTTTTTAAAAGTATGTGCAGATATACATGGCAACCCAGAAATGTCGCTTATGAGTTACTAATGTATTTTAATATGCTCATGATATTAACAATCTAGAATTGAAGGATTTTACAAAAAGCTAGTTAATAAGTCCATAATAAATCGTTTGCAAGGCATCAAATAAAAACTTTTGTATTTAAACATTTTTAAATTGCTACTTCAAATTTAGATGATCTTAAAACATAGACTAACAAATAGCAGTAATCAATAGTAAACACCATGGCTAAAACAAATTTCATAGTCAGTAGTTTGAAGAGATTCTGAAAATTAAGTTTTCATTAGTGGATACAAAGTAGTACTTTTTTTTTTTTTTTTTTTGACAAATATTCACATTCCATACTTTAAATGTCCAAAACAGTACCAACTTAAAAACAAAAACACCGAAAATTGTACTCTTTAGGTTAATGAAATTTTAAGGTTAAATATACCATATTTTACTATTTTGGTACACAACAAGCTAGTGAAGAGCATGTCACACTTATCACAGATTGAACTGCTCCAAGGTGTTTACCAAGCATAAAGAAGCAACATTTGTATGTAATTCAAATTGTTTATACATGCAGTTTCTCTAAATAGTCAATAGATACCTAAATGAGATTAAATATAGCTACCAACCAAAACAAACACTAAAGCCAAACAGAACCCAAAAGTAAAGTGATAACAAGCTTACACATAAACAAAAGGAACAAAAGGGTGGGGGAACTTTTTGTACATGAGAACAGTCACTGCAAGATACAGAAATATCTGAGCAATACACAAAAAGTCAAATAAAGAACTTAAAGGAACATACCTTTCTTTTCCTAGTTCTGGGTCATTCTCCCATTGATCCTACAATATAATTAATATTTTATTAGAGGTTACTCTAGTAGATTTTCACTACTGAATCCACTAACTTAGTATTTTCAGGTAAAATATAGTTAACAAAAGTTAAAAAGAATGGAAGGTGCTATCTCTTAAAAATAAAGAAAATGAGTTAGTTTTCTGTATCTACATTAACTATTACAAGCCAGAAATTTTTTTCTCATTAAAAACTGATGCTAGGTTATATAGAATAAATCAAATTATCATGTAATGAGATACTGACAGACAAGAAACTTGAATTTTAAAAGTCTGGAAACATATTTTGCTTGGAATAAAACTAATAAACATGACAGAAACATCTTCCTTGTAGATTAGCTTTTAAAGACTATCTATAAGGAGACTTTTTATAAAGCATCTCACTAAATAGGGAAGGCTAGAGCAGGAATATTCAGTAACTCAAAGTCAGCCTGGGCAACATAGGCAAAACAATACAAATAACCCCTACTTAAACATGCAGATGTGGGGCTGAGAAGATGGCTAAGTTGGTACATGTTCATCGCACGAGACAGAGATATGAGTTCAAACTCCCAGCAGCATGTATTTAAAAAAAAAAAATTGGGAGCAGTAATATGCTCATAATCTCAGTGCTGGGGGGTAGAGACAGCAGGACTCCTGGGTCTTGCTGAACTTTACACACACACACACACACACAAACACACCCTAGAAATGCAACAGCAATAATTCTTTTAAGTATTATCTGAACTCTGCCAAAAGGAACATCAATGAATAAAGAATTCAATGGGTTATTTTTAAAAATTCAAGTTAATATTAAAATTAAAAAAAGAATCTGGAAGATGTTAAGAAGAGGAACTAGAAGTAAAAGTGATCAAAATACATTTTAAGAATTTCTCAAAGAATTAATTAAAAACATTAGGTTAAAGAATAAAAAAAAAATCGCTGAATAATTTTCAAACTGGGATTACTGATGCCTCTTAGAAATTCTTCTCTTAAATTTTTGTGTTTGTATATACATGTGAGTGGAGGTATGAGAACGATGTAAAAGAACAATCTGCATGGGAATGTGTCCCAGGACTTGATTTCAGGTGGTCAGGCTTGGTGGTAAAATGCCTTTACTGAGCTAGGTTGCTGGCCCAGAAATTGTTTAATGACTAAATATATACCTAAAGCCTTTGCTTTACTTTCTGTGTAAAAATATCTTCATATATTCATAGGCCTTGCCTTTCTAATTTCCATCAAGTCTTCCAAATGACTCTTCTGCTGGGGGTTTTAACTTACCATTTTAATGTACGAATTTTCCCACTTATCTCTGTCTTTTTACATGAGGAATTGGGTGGGTTGAAGCACAATTTCATGTAGCCTAGGATAACCTTGAACTCAAGATACTCTTCTCCCTAAAGTGTTGGAACTGTAGGTATTCATCACCATATCTGACTTTGTAATTATTTTTAATTTGATTTATATATCTTTCAGCTCTTATTACTGATATTTTATTACTTGCTGTATTACACACACACACACACACACACACACACAGTTAGTTCAAGAATTTGGAAAGATTATTAAAAAACATAGATTCTAAATATAAGATCCAACTGTTTGCCCATGCTACTGAAACACAATGGAACTACTAGAAAAGCACAAATCTGAATTTTATTTCTTTTAAAAATATACTTATTGTTTTTCTACATGTATTCTATAATTATATAAACCAATAACATGTAAAATTTGCATTCTTATACAATACATATATAATACAAACTGAAGAATCCAAATGTGTTTCCTTCCAGGAAGCAACAATACATCAAAAACAGTACCTCTTTCCTAGAGACAATCACTGAAGACAAACAAAGTCTCTGTCTCTGTCTCATTTTGTTGGGTTTTTCAAGATGGGGTTTCTCTATGTAGCCCTGGCTGTCCCAGAACTCGTTCTTTAGACTAGAATGGCTTAAAAAAACTCATAGAGATCCACCTACCTTTGCCTCTCAAAGCACTGGGATTAAAGGTGTGTGCTCTCTTTACCAAGTCTCTTTACATGTTAGTATCTGAATATAGTTACATATTTCAAAATTACCAATTTATTTCATGTACTTTGTTTCCATTATCATTAAAACTTAAGAGTCAAACAAGTTTTAAAATAATCAATATAAAGAAATAGCTAAATTTATAAGTTGATTACTATCCGAGCCTACTCTTGAAACTGCATTTATAATGTATCTTTTGAGTTTTCAGAAAATGTCCTTTATGTTTTCTGATGTTCTTAAATTTTTTTTTTTTTTTTTTTTTTTTACTGTTTTGTATGTGTTTGTACTATATATAAGCCTAATACTCATGGAGGTCAAAAGGTGGCACTAGATCTTGAGTTAAAATGGCTGTGAGCCATCACATGGTTGTTAGAACCAAACCTGAGTTGTCTACAAGAACAGCCAATGCTCTTGACTGCCAAAACATCTCTCTAGCCCCACCCTTTTGATCTTCTACAATAACAAAAGTTGATTAAACAAACAAAAAATACTTACCTCTGAGTCCATCTTTGGAGATAAAGTACAAGTCAACACATAGTCACCTATGCTTTGAGGATACTGTTTCAGAAAACTGTACATTGATAGAGCAGATTCAGGACTTTCTAATTGAAGAATCACCTTTAAAAACATTTTTTTTTAAAAGCATGAATGTAAAAATTACAAGTAGAAATAGGATGTTATCTAGCAATTCTACTTTTTTACTGTTTATCTAGATAAACTGAATTAAACCACGGACCCAGACATTCATTTACTCACTTAAACTCCAAGAAATATTAGGCACAACCATTAAAAAAAGAAACCTCTCTACGAACTAATGGATTTTACAAATACAGTCTAAGCACATGATAGAATGCTATTTAGCTTTTAAAGACATTCTGATATGTTACACGTGTGAACCTAGAACATAGGCCAAGTGAAATAAGCCAACTACAAAGCAGCAAATACAATTCAACCTCTACATGACATCTAATATTATTCTTATTTACAGAAACAGACATAAAATGGCAGTTTAATGGCTGGGTGGATGAGTGGGGTATTAAACTATTATTTAATGGACAGAAAGTGTCATTTTGAGAAAACAGGAAAAAAATTTATGGAATTAAATGGTGGTGATAGTTGCTTCATGGCACTGAAGTGACACCTAAAGTTAAAATGGTAAATTTATAATTTAAGAATACGTTACAAAGGCTAGGCAAAACGAAATCCTTCTTTCCTTCTTTAAAACAAAGAATTAATATGCAGGAGCTGGAAAGATGGCTCAGCAGTTGCTGCTCTCCTGGAAAACTTGAGTTCAGTTCCCAGTACCGACATCAGGGAGTTCATAACTTACTGTAACTCCAGCTCCAGGGGATCCAACACACTTTTCTATCCTCCTCTGGTGTACACACACATGAACACATGCACACAAATCCACAAAAAATTAAAACATATACATACCAAAACCAACCAACCAACCAACCAACCAACCAACCAACCAACCAACCAACCAACCAAACAAACAACTGGGGACTAATATGCAAAGTTTGAAAAGTTAAAATGCTGATATGCCAACAGTCCCCATTCTATGTCACACTTTATATGGAGGGTCAGACTGGCTGTATTTATTAGTTCAAAACATATCAAAGAAAATAGGAGCTGGTTGTTACTTATTTATTATATATACTTTCATAAGGCACCTATGATCACTACTATACCACCACAGACTTGCAATATAATTTTGTAACAACAAAGTAACTTTGATACAAAGCCCTAAGCCCTGCCTTTATAATAGTCTACTGACAAAAATCTCTTAATTTTTTTCAATTAGGTTGCAACCCCACCAACTCAGGAAGGAGAAGTAATAGTGTAAAAAATTAAATATTAGCATGGGTTACACAAAAAATTCTGGTCTCCATAAATGAAATAGGCATATACAGAAATACATTAACAATTATAGGGTAAATTTTAAGTATAAACATATCAACAATTTTGGTTCATAATTTTAAGCACAGAAGCCAAATCATGAAATAAAGTTGACAAACAGATCTAAGTCTGCATTTTACAGTTAGGAGGCTTTAAATATGTCTATATCTACATATATCATATCTTTCATTTTATAAAGTTAAATTAACAGCTTTGCCATGGTCATAGAATTTATGTATGTCTTCCTGGTAAGACAATGCTCTTTGCACACTATATTACCTTGTTCTTTCTATGAATCTTATTTCTTCTTAAAAACTAAAGAGAAAGTTTTTTTTTTTTTTTGGTTCCAGTTCAGAACAAACTGTCCTAGTCTGTTATACTTCTGCTTAGTTGTTGAACACAAAAGCCAAGGTAGAAGCTACAGGCTATAAGTGTACAGGGTTCAATTACCTTGTTTTTGTTACTTATGAACACATAGCGATCCACTTTTCCAAACTGATGCCCAACACAAAGCACACACTGAAGTCCATCCTCAGGTACATTGCCAAAATGTACAAACCGGTCATAAATTTCATCAGTATTTGCCTGTTTAAAAAAAAAAAAAAAAAAAAATGTTTTTTGAGACAATGTAGGAGGGAAAAAAGGATAGGCATCAAATCATAAATCACTGATTAGCAGTAATTTAATATAGAGGGTGATGAGGCTTTTTCAAGAATAAGAAAATGACTTTATGGAAGAAAACGGGAGTAGGGGGAATTGAACCCAGAGCCTCATGTGTGCTAGGGAAACCCTTTATTATTGAGCCAACCTTGCAACCCAATAGCAAGGTCTTAATTTTACATCTAAGCAATGAATAAAACCATATAATAAAATGGGATCTATATTTCTACTATGTTTATTAAAAGAAAAATCATCAAATGGAACATCACTTATATGACTAGTAATTATGCATTTTAGTATATAAAAAAAATTAGTTCATATCAAGGGCTATGAGAACCTTTTCATTGTTACCAAGAGCTGCCGCCGCCTGATAATCTCAGTCAACTCAATATTAAAATTGCTAATAGAGTTTTATTTAATTATTAAAAGAAAAATAAAACACTTTTTTTTTTTTAAATTAAATCAGTAAACAAAGCATTTAAAATTGAAACTCACCTCTGGGTTACTTTCTTGAATCAAGGTTATAAAGAGAGCTTCCTAAAAAGCCAAATATTAAAAGGTGAAAGCACTGTCTCATTTATATGCTAATACTTGGCCATGACCTATACAGATACACATTATTCAGTATTTTATAAAATCAGGTAGCTACCATTCTACTCTTTCAGAAATTTTCTTCCCTCTCTCTGAAGATGTTACTTAAGTCTCAACCTATATAAATAATTTTTTTCTGCTCCCCTAGGTTCACTGCAGGCAAACAAAAACCAGTGTAGTAATTTGTTACTCGCATAAGAAGGGCAAAAGTAGCGCAAGAAAGAATAGCAAAAGTGGCAAAAGACACTTTAAAAGAAGGCTTTGTATAAAGAAAAGTAACTTGATCTTTATATAATGGAACTATGGTTCTTAAACTATTTTCTTTAATATTAATGACGTTTAATACTCCCCACTAATACAAGCAAGTTATTTGCATTTCTCTTGGCTTCTTCTATGAGATTTTATTGTATTTGGGGTCATACAGACCCTGAAATGTTTTCTGCATCAGTTGAACCTGAATTTGAACAGATTTGAATTTCATGCGGGTCTCACATCTTTGTGATTGGAGTACTTGAAGGAAGCAAAACGGACAGTAGCATGAAGAGCTACTCTATTACTTTGGCTGTTTGAAGAGATTAGACAATGAGAAACAAGGAAGAAGCTTGATATATTTAAAATAAATAAGTTTTACTGAGTGACCAATTATGACAAATAAGGAGGGAAAATTAAGACAACTGTCAGCATTCTGTTTTGATTGTTGGTCAGAGATTTTTTTTTTTTTCAAGTAAGAATTCCTCTTAAGTGGTCACTAAAAGGAGAGGACACCTTTGTGGCCTAACAGTATGTAACCCAAAAAAGAAAACATGTTAACAAAAAGTAATAATAAATTTGAACTTAGCAATTTAGTAAGAGCTAGGAAAAATGATGGTGAAAGCCTATTATTTACCTCATTTTTTATGTCCACATCCTCAGGAGCCATACTTATGGAGAGCTGATTTCCATCCATGGATATTGGGAAGGAGGTGTAAAATTTTACCATAGAATCTGCAGATTTTTTGCTTATTTCTATAAATGCCTTTAAAAATAAAAGTAAAAAAAAAAAAAAAATGAATTCTACCTGAAAAGACTTGTAACTTAGGACTATAGTTACAGATGGTTGTAAGATGGGTGCTGGGTATCAAACCTGGGTCCTCTGAAAAAGAACAACCAGTACTCTCTAATTGCTAAGTCATGACCCCAGACTCCCAAACAAATAAATTAAGGCAATACTGAAATAGAAGATATCTGTGCTTCTTCATTTTAAAAAATCTTTTAGTTGGGATATACCTTAGCAGAAAAGTATATGCCTTGCCATAAGTTCAATTCCCAATACCACACCCACAGAGACAAATGAGAGAGACAAAAACTGGTTGACTGATTATAAAGCCAGGTCAGGTTGGGAGAGAGAAATCATGAATTTGAGATTGTAGTTAGCCTGAGTAAGAACTGTTTAAAAACCATAAAACAAAAATAATAACATATAATAAAGATTGAAAAAAAAGCTTAAACGAGTTTAGAGATATCCCCTTAAATCTTGACTATTTTTTTAAATTTCAATGATTTACCAAAATGTGGTTATAAAAAAGTAGTTATCATGAATTCTTACCTTTTTATGAGATGGCAAAATTACAATATCCTTCAAACTGCCAAATGGTTTTGCTAAGTCGTGAATTTTTTCTGTAGAATATCCTTTATTAGGCAAATTAGAAATAAAAACCACACTCATTTCCTCCACTTCCTTCAAAACAAATAATAAAGTGGTTACTATTTAACTTGCATTTACTACTTGTGGAAAACAAGATAAATCAGGAGACTCTAGAACTTCAAATTAAATGCCCTTAATGGTGGTTTGAAAATGTATAGGCCATAGGCCTATACATTTGAATGTTTGATCCCTAGTTAGTAGAACTGTTGGAGAATGATTAGGAGGTGTAGCCTTATTAGAGGAGGTGTGTTCTTGTTGGAGGAGTTCACTCCAGATCCAGTTTCACTTTGTCTTATGGTCAGGGCCATGGCTGCCTGCAAACAGCCATCCTCCTCACCATGATGATCACAGACTGCTTATTTGAAACTGTTAAGTATGGTCCCAATTAAATACACAGACTGCCTGGGTCATAATGTCTCCATTCACAGCAATGGCAGAATAGCTAAGAAACACTTATAATGCACAAATTTACAATTTTAAATTAGTAGAATAATTACAGTTATACCAGTTGTCATCTAGTCATTTGTACATCTAGGATATACAAAACCCTGTGTTTAATCCCCAAAATGTATAGACTGGTTGTGGTAACATGCTCAGGAAAATTCAAATTCAAGGTCACTCCTTGCAATATAAGCATGTTCAAGTTCAGTCTGGGATAAAAAGAAAGCCTATCTTTACAAAAATCGTACAATGAAACAGAACAAATTCCCAATGTGCAAAGGTTCTAGTTCTCTCTTCTAGTTCCATCAAGCTCTTATCTACCCCAAATCCATTTTGCTTTAACATGTTCTCAGAGTGATTCAGGATTTTAAACAAACATTATATCTAAAGAGCTAAAAATGGCTAACAATTTTTACCATGCCAAAAAGTGAATACAGTTCCTCAGAGAATTTGATGGAAATAATATATAAAAACTGACCTTGCTTACTGGTTCATTTTCTGTGGTCTCCAAAGTACCTTAATACCAAAAAATAATGAAAACACAATTTTACAATTTCACATGATTTTCAAGATTCTACTTTATTCTACAATACATAAGTTATATGAAAATGTACATGCCTGCGCTACAAACCACTAAGAAAGCGTACAGAAGTGACAACAGCTTTTTGGTCCTTTATTGAAAATATAGGGCATACAATATATGCTGGTTAGTTTCACCTCCTATGGCTTCTAGCTCCTCCCCACCTCTCCTATCCAGGTCTACTCCCTTTTTGTCTCTCATTAGAAAATAACAGGCTCTAAGAGATAGCCACAAGACATAACAAAATAAAATATAGTAAGACAAAACAAACATGACATCAAAGTTTGGACAAGACAAATCAACAGATGGAAAAGAGCCCAAGAAAAGGCACAAGACCGACTAGTTTACACATTCAGGAGGCCCATAAAAACCACCTGGGGTGGTGGCACACGCCTTTAATCCTGAGTTCTCAGGACTCAGGAAGCAGAGGCAGGCAGATCTCTGTAGTTCAAAAAGCCCGGTCTACAGGAGCCAGTTCCAGGACAGGCTCCAAAACTACAAAGAAACCCTGTCTCAAAAAATAAATAAATTAAACTGAAAAAAAAAAAATCAAACAAAAAATGCAAAACAAACAAAAGTCACTAAACTGAAAGCAGTAATATATATACACAGAGTATATGGTGCAGATTCATGCAGGCCCTGTACTTGCTACTCTCTGGTGAGTCCATATAAGCTTTGCTCAGATGATTTAAAGGGCCTTGTTGTCTAGCTTTTAAATAACAGATTTCAATCATTCCCCACGAGAGTAAAACTTCAGAATGATACAGAGATAGAATGTAGATTTGAATTGTAATGTATTTAATTTGACCTGGGATTTAACCCCAGTATTAGAAAAAAATCAACACATAAACATATAATATAACCACAAATACATCTTTTCTAAAAAAAAATATTTTATTTCAACTTTATATGTAGAGCACCAAAATAAATTTTCTACTGGCCTACCTCTAGTAGTTTCTTCAGCACGCTTTCCAGCGGCTTTTGCTGCACAAAACAGACTACTTTAATTTTCTAAGAAAACACTAATATAATCAAACTAATGAATCTGAACGAGAATTTAAACTAGTAATTTCATTACTTCAGGTTTTTTCATGCTGACCTAAGTAAAACCTCTCTTTGGAAAACTGTGAGGCTATGTGGTTCTATGTATGCATGTATGCATATATGCAGGTACATGTGCACTTGTGTTACGTATATGGAAGCCAGCGATCAACATCTAGTGTCTACCTTCATTGCTTTCATACCTTAGTTTTTTGAGACAGGGACTCACTGATACGAAGGTATCAACTAGGCTGGCTGGCTAATGAGCTCAAGGATCTGCCTGTGCTGTCTGTTCCCCTTTGTCCAACCCAGCACTGGGATTACGGGTGTGTGTTATGCCTGGCTTTTATGTGGGCCACGTGGGAGCCAAATATAAGTTTTTATGCTTGCATACCCAACAATTTTTTAACAAATGAGACAGTCCCTTTGGGGCTTTAAAAAAAATTTTTTTTAAATATATCTATACTATAAACCAAGACAATCCAAAAAACAAACAAACAAGCAAACAAAAAAACCCACTGAGTGATAGCACATTGTTACCTGGTACAATCACGAGTTTATTGGAGTCTTTGGTTTTGATAATCCCAGACTTTTTAGCTTCTAGAGACTTCTTTCCAGATTTTGCTTTTAAAAGTAGAATTAAACCATTATTCTAAGATTAAGGGCCTACTTAGAGTATTTTATATTAATATATCAGAAATAAATAGCTCAACCTAATCTAAATAGAAATTTATTACATGTATTATTTATTTTCAATTTTTCACAAATAATATTAAAAGCAAGTTTAAGTCGAGACACTTTTGTTGGTCTTAAAATAGTCCCAAGCTTAATTCTCATGTGAAATAAAGAATTAAAATTATGTATTTTGAAATTTCTACAAAGGTTCTTTAGAATTAAAGTATTAGAAAATATACTGCTAATAGGGTCATGCTATTTTCAATGTACAACAGCTACGTTAAATAGCATTTCATTTCTTTATCAGGGAAATTAATCTGTTTTAAAGTAAAAAACATCAGATAAACTGTTTAAGCTGTGGAAGGGAGGAAGGATTAAACCATTTAAAGGGGACAATGAAAGAGCGACCTATAAATATATTATTGTCAGACCATGCATTTACATACTTGTATATATATTGTATAGCCATAATATATATATTGGTACAGAATATATACTGATACAGAAAGGTATCATTAATGGCAGATATTGTTAAAGACCAAAGTACCAATGAATAAAAATCCTATATTGTAAATTTTAAATACTAAAGACTCTACTAAATTCTTCAAGATGTTATCAGATACTAGAAATTACTGAATTCTAAACTTGCTTTCAATAATGTATCCTTTAAATTCACAAAATAAATGTAATAAGCCTCTCTCTCTCAGTCGGTCTTACCTGTTTTGATAAAAGCTTTACCTTTTGCAGCTACCGTAACCACAGATTTTACAGAACCCGCTGATTTCCCTAAATCACAAAAGCTATAGTCAAAACTGTTTTACTTAAATAGTACCAATCTCCAAATTACCTTATTAAAAACAATACAAGAATAACACATTTTATTAAAAACATAAAAGGTTACCATATTTTAGGACCTCTAGCAATGAAAATTTCTTTGGGGCTACATCCCAGCCACAAGACACAGTTGCCCTGTCCCCAGTGCCCAGGCCAGCCAGCATACACATGCATGGCAGGTACTTCTTCCCTGAGCCAAGCTGCCAAGCCTGCCTTAAAGATCAGACACCCTGATGGAGAGACACCTGACCTACAGACACCAATGAGAAAAGGACATATAGCAGTGTCAGTCACCTGAGCCAATAGGACCTTGGAAGGGGGTTATAAAGGCAGGCCTAACTTCCTTAACAAAGGAGTCTGCAACATGCTCTGCTACTCCCAGTGCCTGAGTCTTCTCGCCCCCTCTCCCAAGGGGTATCCGAGCAGGGTAACCCGCAACAGGTGGAGGGCTATCGATTACTAGAAAGTAGGACTTAAGTTAAATATCACTCTGTATGTAAGAATCAACTAGAGGCTGAAATACAAAGTACAAAGCTAAAACACAAAGTGATCCCATGTTCACTGGTTCCAAAAGCAATTTTGTAGAGCCTTGTAGGTAAACCCCAAGGATCACACTTGACTGAAATCCATTTAATCCATCTTAGGAAAGCTACATGAAGTCTGTTCCTAGTGTCCTAGTTAATCTATTATTTAAAAACAAAACAAACAAGCAAACAAACAAAAAAGCAAACCCATACCATATTATGGGATAGGCTTCAAAACTGTCAAACACTATACTCTTGCTGGTTTCCCTTGGTTGCCCACCATAACCAGATCACATATAGCTGAAGTTACTCAGCCTCATTAGAACAAAAAAGAACTCAAGCTGGAATTGAGCTGGAAAGTTTCTCCCTTCTGGCTTGTTTTCCCAGTTTCAGAAGGTACTATGAATGCTGCTTGCAGAGAAAAGGGACCAATGTCTTAACCAGCTGTGAAACTTACAAACTATAATATAATTTTGGCAGGCAATATGTGCCTATTGGTTAAAAGAGTAAGTTCTTTGATTCAATTTAAGGCACTCTCCACAGGAGGAAATTCATATTTGTTACTATAAGCCAGGGTAAAAACTCATGGCTGAGATGGTTTTAAGGTCTAAAGGAAAATTAAATATTATTGTATAGCTAACATGGCCCAAAACTACTTTCTAAATATTAGTATTTATACCATAGACAAATGCTACTCTCAGAAAAGTAATTTAATCAGAAAAGCTAGTCTTTGCAAAGGATGGTAGTAAATGCTGATTCGTGGCTATTGCTATACTAAGTGATGAGAATAAGCAATGGTGAAATTTATAACACCACTCCAATAATGCTCTAATAAAGTGAGTTCCAGGACACCCAGGATTGTGTACAAAGAAACCCTGTCTTGGAAAAACACAAAAAGCAAAAAAGAAAGGGCTTATAGGGCATAGGCAGACATGTCAATAGCAGTGGGAGGGAAATGGGAAAAAGGTAAGTGCAATTCATTTTATTCATGTATAAAATTGTCAAAGAACAAATTTAATAAAAATTATAATTAGCAAGAAGGTAAAGAGAAAACAGCCCAGAATTAGACTACTTATAGACTAAAGTTTTATGCAAATTAAAGCTTGGGCTTGGGCATTACTTAATTCTATGTACTCTCCCATGACCTGGTAATTGTTACAACTTCATCAAAGAAGACATTATAAGATTACAGTTATTCTTTTAAATAAATCATATAAAGAGATCCATTAACATCCATAAAAACAGAAATAATCTAAATTCACTCACTATACTCAAAGACAGGCAAAAGAGCAAAAACAGTGCCCTCTCATCTGCAGCTTTGCTATCCAAAGTTTTAATTAATTACTCAAAATGAACTGACAACTGTTCAACAAGCCAGTATTATATAGAAAATTTCAGAAAAATGAACTTTCTAAATTTTAAATTGGAGGTCATTCTGAGAAAAGAAATGTCCAGCATTAGACAGCCAAGCATATATACTCTATGCAGGCTACCTTCCCATTAGTCATTAACACCTTTGAGGTCTCACAGTGATCCTCATAACTCATATCCATATAAGTTATTTCTTTAAAAAATCAGGAGTATGAGAGACTGCTTCATATAACTTACTGTGCCTAATTAATAAATTCAACTTTATCACAGCCAGGTATGGCATACCCCTTTAATCCCAGCACTCAACAGCCATAGGCAGGCTGATCTCTTGAGTTTGAGGCCAGCTTGGTCTTCTTAGAGTCCAAGCTATCTTAGCATACACAGTAAGACCCTGTCTCAAAATCTTAATTGTATTTTTTAGACATTTACTGTATGTCTTGGGATGTATGAATGTATCCCTGTCTTTGATAGGTAACTGCTGCTCCTATCCTGACAATTTGGCACTTAATTAGTTGATTCTTAGTAATTCACAAGCTTGCTATTCTGAAATAAACTGACCCTTAGTAAGCCAGTTAAGAGATTTTTTTATAATAACTGTTATCATCATAGACAATTCATGTTACCACTTATGTGAGGACTTATCCCCAGCAGTTGAGGGATGGCTAGCAGCTTAGTTCCCAGCCCAGCAATCTCCATTTGTGGATCCCACGAACTTTAAATCAGACTGCTTGTTAAATAAATTAAATTTTAAAGTTTCCTAGAAATGTATGACCATCTCAAAAGATAGCCTCAGACTACATGAAAATTCCAAATCTGTCAATTGCAATGGCATCTCCCTTTTTAACGGAGAAGATAATTTAATATACTACTCTCTACCCTGAATATGTCTTGCCATAACCTATATTTAGTAGAAATAGGAGGGAAAAGAAAAGAGAGGAGTACAACATGGTAAAATGAAAAGAATTTTAAACATTATTTAAAAGCCCACTACAGTGAGCCAGGCAGAGTGGCGCACACTTGTAATTCTAGCACTCGGGAGGTTGAGGCAGGAGGATCAGGATTCAAGCTCAGGGACCATTTGCAACACATGGGATGCTGTTTCGAACAAACAAAACACTATAGCTTATGAAAATTACATGTGCATTTATCTGAACTAGTATATAAAAGAAAATAAGTCCTCAGTAAAAGAGGAGGGAAACAGCAATGATATTCATTCTCAGAAACACTTCTTCAGTTAAATTTTTATTCTTTGATAATTACTATTAGAGCACTATATACTAAATCTCATCCTGAAAACTACTAGCTTACTATAATCTCAAAGATTAAAACATATATTTCAAACATTATCACAGAAATACAAGCCAATTAATTCTTTAGTTTAGTTAATGGCTAGAATCCTAATAAAAATATACTTCAGGACAGGCAGTGTGGCTCAACAGTAGAACACTTGCCTAGAACACACAAAGCAGTACATTCAATCCTTAGTACTACAAAAACAAATGGGGGAATATAAAAATAACATACCTATAACTTTGTTCACTTTGAATGTAGATGGCTTTAATCGTCCAGTTTTGGCTAAAATGAGAAAAATGTATTTCAATAATACATTACAAACCACAGATTTAGGTAAGAACTAACCTTGGAATAATTTTCAAGGAGCATTGAATCCTCCAATCCCTTCTGTCCTGAGCATTATTATTTACAAAAATTCTTAGGTAAGTCAAAATGCCCCCTTTTAGTGTTGGCTGGGGTGGGGTGGCTCAGTTGGTATGTACTTACTTTGTAAACACAATGACATGAGTTATATTCCCAAGAATCATAAAAATTTTTGGTATAATGACATAATCCCAGCCTTGGGAAGCAGAGACAGAAGGACCACTGGTACCTAGGCTAACTGGTAAACTCAGAGTAAATGAATGACACTGCCTAAAAGGAAGAGGACAGCATTCCTGAGGATGAGACTTGAGGTTGTCAGAAGATTCATAAGAACATGCATATGTATTTACACATGCACTAAAAAAAATATATTCACACATGCATAAAAAGCAAATATATAATTTTTCCTTCTTTCATTTAATAAAATTTTATAATGTTAACTTCAGAAAGGGTGTATAAATAGTTTCATTAATAACGATTGACAGCTGGGTGGTAGTGGTGCAAGCCTTTAATCCCAACACTCTGGAGGCCAAGGCTGGTGAAGCTCTGAGTCTGAGGCCAGCCTGGTCTACAAAGCTATACAGAGAAACACTGTCTCAAAAAAAAAAAAAAAACAAAAAAGAAAAAACAAATACTGATTGATAGTTGGGTGTCCTCTATATCCACACAAACAGTCATCAGTCTATCGTGGTAGAAAATATTAACCATCTTTCACCTTGGAGAGTTTGATTCACTTTTTCTTTAATTATGAGAGATAACAAAATTTTTCATATTTAAAAGTCTCCTGTAAGCCAGGTGTGGTGGCACACACCTTTAATCTCAGCACTAGGGAAGCAGAGGCAAGGGTTTTAGGTCAGCCTAGTCTACACAGTGAGTTCCAGGACAGCCAATTCTATGTAGGTTTATGTCTCAATAAACACAACAACAAAAACTAAAAGAAACCAAAAGGAACCATGTCTGGGTCACCTATATGAAAGGCTCAGTAACTAAGGTTTTCCTAATATCAAGCAATAAAAGATTCTGCCTCAAAACAAATGAAAAGCAAGTACCAGCATCTGAAGGTGTCCTAACTTTACAAATGCACCACTCGACCCAACCCCCACACAAACACTAGAACTTACCAAAAGAGGCTGAAGTAACAGTTTTAATGTTTTTTGAAGCATCAGTTTCTTTTCTATTTTAAAGAGAAAAAAAAAAGTTAGAAACCACTGAAAACTACTTCTAAGTTCTATAAATTTCTAAAACTGGAGTGTTTATATACAATTTTATAATAATGGTAGTTAAAGATATAGACTTAAACATTAAAATTTCTCAACATACATACACATTAATTTTTCATATGAAAACACAGATTCACTTACCTTAAAGCAGATGCAGACAACTTCTTGGAATCTGAAGGTTTCTTCTTCATCTCTTTGTTCTAAGAAGGAAATATTATTTAGGACAAAAAATTAGCTCCTCCAACTAAAAAAGAAAGTTGACGTAATTTAGAAAATTGTAGAGTTCATAATGAAAGCATTCAAAATCTTGAAGTTTAAACACGCCATTACCCTTTTCTTTTAGTTTTTCAAGATAGGGTTTCCCCGTGTAACCACCTTGGCTATCCTGGAACTTGCTCTGTAAACCAGGCTGGCCTTGAACTCACAGACATGCAACTGCCTCTGCCTCCCAAGTGCTGGGATTAAAGGCATGTGTTAGGAACTAGCAGCCAGCTGACCCCGCCCCCAAGGATGGGTGGGATGCTCATGGCCAGGTCATCACCATGTCAGCCTTACCTGGCTGCTTAAGCTTTACCTGGCTGCCAGAGGACTCAGTTACGCATGGGCAAGGCCCCCTTTTAAAGCAAGCACACCAAGCCCACAGCCCTCTCTTGCTCTTGCTCTCTGCCCACCCCTCCTGCTTTTGGTTGGCCTTCTCTCCTCTCTCTCAATAAACTCCACATAGGCACTGAGTCTTCTGTTTGTGTTTTATAGGCATTAGCTGCAGCAAAAGAACAACAGCATGTGCCACCAACACCCTGGTCATTACCCTTTTCTATTTAAACTTCCTTTAATTTATGATCATGCTATGGTCAATACAACAGCTTCAGAAGGGCCTGGTTCTGTCATCTTTTCTATATATCCACATTCTTTCAACAACATAAAATGAGATAGAACTTGCTGCTCCTACTCTTAAAACTTTTCATCATATTGAAGGAAAAAAAAAAAATCAGTTCAGTGTTCTTGCCTTTTTGTGTGGAATGCACTCCAAGATCTCTAGTAGATGAAACTATGCACAGTATGAAACCATATACAGCTTTCCACTATACATAAAGCTGAATGCATAAATTAGGTAGAATAAGAGATTAACAGTGGTAATAAAACAAAATTAAAGTTACATGATGTGGTCACTCAAAACATAATATTGTCCTTTTCACTTCAAAGAATTATTTCGTGGGAATATATAGACTGTCAACAATACTTAAATAGAATCACTTGAATAAAAGTACCATGAGCTTTTGGGAGGGCGGTGTATGCCTTTAATCCCAGCACTCAGAAGGCAGAGGTGCAGAGTCATAGAGGGGCATAGCCAGGCCAATATCAGTGGGTTGGAGGCCAGCTTGGTCAAATTCAGAGATACATAATGAAATCCTACCTCAAAAAGTACCAGAGGGTGCCATGCAAGTTTCCAAAGGAGGGAAGAAACTAACAGTCCTACCCAGCTATATGATGCCTATGAACTACAACACTGAACATTCTGGCACAATAACCTTCAGGGTACAATAGTGACAAGCATAGCTAAACATCAGATCTCAAATTGAACTTAAGATCCACTCAACAAGGTAGAAACCATGCCTAGTACTGGAAACCTAGCCAACTACTCTGTTAGTGAAGATCACTTTACTACACCTACATAATCCCTAACAACAATCTAAACATTTGTCCCTACACCCATAGAAAAGTATAGCCATCACCACTCATGATCAGACAGAACTAATCAAAATACAAAGTTGTAGAGATCAGTCTCAATGGATACATCTATAAAACATAACCCCTACTCAAGGCTCAAAGAACATTTCAGAAGAGAAAATAGAAAGAAAAAGTGTAAGAATCAAAAGAACAGGGAATTTGCTGTGAGATTATGTTTCCTAGTAATGTCAGAAGCTACACCCATAAAGTCTCACCAACATGACTGCCTAAACATGGATGACACAAACATACACACTCAAATGGACAAGGGAAAGATCACAAGGCCTCAACCCTAGACAAAGAAGTACAGGCAACATAAGAAATGCTGAGAGTGGAAGCTAGTCTTCTCTGGAAGAGTACACCAATTGGTTATCCAATACCAAATGACTAGCTTTCAAACATATGACCAACACTATATAGACCGAGCACATTATATTTAGGAATATTTATGTGTTTATGTGTGTATATGTGTATACACACATACACATGCGCATGTAACTGCAATAAAAAAATGAATAAAGTAGATATGAATTTGACAGAGCAAGGGGTGATAGATATATGGGAGGGTTTGGAGGAAGGGAAGGGAGAAATTATGTAACTGTATCATATTATCTAAAAAATTAAAAGTACATGAACTCTCAACAGTCAACATAAAACAGACACCACTACATACATTATGCATATGCTAGACAGAAGGGTTCTTCATATCTTATCATGATAAAATCGTGGACTTAACAACATCCAACTTAAAATATATGGAGTGTCTATTTCAGAATTTCCCACTTAACACTTTTGTACTACAGTTGACCCTGGGTATCCAAAATAAAGGGCCACATATAATGAACTCTTAAGAGTTTATATTACACATTGCCAACTTCTTTAGGTCAACAAGATTGTTTACTGGATAAAAGTTTGTTGAACTTGTTGAATAAACTGATAAGTTTGATCCCCAGATTCCAGAGTAAAAAGAGAGAACCAATTCCTGAAAGTTGTTCTCTGACCTCCATATGTGTACCATGGCACAGATGTGCCTGAATCTATATACACATTAGACAAAACAATAAAATTGAAACTTACAGTATAAAATTTGGGGCAAGACAGATGGCTCCGTGATTAAGAATACTAGCTGCTCTTTTAGAAGACCTAGCTTCAATGCCCAATACCCATATGGAAGCTCACAACTGTTTTTTGCTCTAGTTTCAGATATATGATATCCTCTTCTGACCTCCAAGGGCAGCAGGCATGCACATGGTGCACACATATACATATAGGCAAAACACTCATACCCATAAAATACAAATTAAAAAGCTGACCCAAAACAAAAGATTCACAAAATAACAACTTGTAAACAACAAGTATAAAATGTAAATAATACGCTAAATTTCTGAATAGATGTAATGTTGTAAAAAAAAAAATCGCTATAAACTCAACAGTCAAATCTCAATAATATCAGAGACTCTAAATAGATTATAAACCTAGTTCAATATTAAATCAAAACGGGGCTGATGATATGACTTATGGCTAAGGGGCCTGCTGCCAACCCTGATACGTGTGAGCCTTAGGATTCAAAATAAGAAAGAACTAATGTTGTCTTTTAGCTTCTAGCTTCAGGCATGTGTGTATGCATATACAGACACACAAGATAGATCTATCAACATCTACATAAATAAAGGACAAAGAAGAAGAACCAGAAAGACAAGGACGTACAGTTATCAGTTTAAAAGTATATAGTAATATTATATTTAGGCAAAAGAATGATCCCAAATATATCTATGAATGTAGAATAGTTTTACACAGGCAGTCTTTTAAATTGGAGAGGAAAGGCAGGTTAGGCAGAGTTTTTGAGTTCAGGTACCTACCTGTTTTTGGAAATTATACTGACTTCAACCAGATTATAGTCTCTATGTTATATTCTGTATATAAGATATGTTACATATGCTATTATATTACATATATTAAAATATGGTATATACATATTAATAACAGAACAAGAATGATCTTATAAAACATGTCAAGTAAATAAGTAAAATGCACAGGAGAAAATAAAAATACATTCAAGAACATATAAATTAAAAATACTTTTTATTGTATGTCTTCTGTGAATATACCTATTCCACAATACATTGTGGAGATTAAAGTAAAACTTTAACAAGTTGGTTCTTTCTCTCCTTTCACCAAGTGAGTTCCAGAAATTGAACTCAGATCATCATGCTTGATGGCAAGTGCCTTATATCACTGAGCCATCTTACCGGCTCATTTCCAGTATATGGAAATTTAAATCTCATATATATATATATATGCATGCAAGCAACATGCTGAAGACAATATTTTCAACATAGAATACAGAATACTAAATTAATATCAAAGATAACAGACACCTATAAATAAATTTTTTCAAATAAAGATAAAACCACTATAGAAAGTTGCATGTGGTAGCTCATGCTTATAAGAGTACCAGGGAAGCTGAAGGAGAGGGATAAGAATTTGAGGTCAACCTAGGCAATACAGTGATACTCTATTCTTTAGAAAATCAACAAAAATATTGATATAAAAGATATAGGAAATTCAACAGAGGAATTAACTTAGGTAGCTAAATAAAATAATACAACATGTCTTACTAAATTTTTTTTAATTGAAGGGATTAAGATGGTCCTACAAGTGTACAAGTTTTCCTAAATCACAAGGGTGTGGATGACTCTACAGCTACTCTACAGGTGATGAACTAATACCTACATTCTTCACCCATCAACTATTCTGGTGTGTACAATCAGAAATACAAAAGGAAGGCTTATAGAAGTCATAAGGAGTTAACTAAAGTCTTGCTTATGGAAATTTAAAAAAATAGGAATAAATAAAGTATCCATCCAAAAGAATCCAGCATGTTAATCATTATTATAATCACACAACACAACATAGAATTAAGAGATGGGGAATGACTCAATTACTTTTAAGGTTAAATTACTACTGACTGAGGAATATGTGCTTATAAATCTCTAAAGAAGGTATTCCATAGCAAATAAAAAGCTAAATTGCAAAAAATATATATAAAACCAAAGCAAAGCTTACTGAAAATTCCTAAATTATTCTATAGATATTATCTATGAAAATTTGCAGCATAGAAAATGGTCTAGAAAACCTAAACTCAAACACTGTTTTTTAATTAAATATTTTATTTTATGCATATGAGTGCTCTATCTACATGTATGCATTTATTCCAGAAGAGGGCATGAGATCCCACTACAGATGGTTGTGAGCCATCATGTGATTGCTGAAAATCAAATTTAGGACCTCTAGAAGAACAGCCAGTGCTCTTAATTAACCACAGAGACATCTCTGTAGACCAGAAAACATTGATATTTCTAAACAAACAAATGCTCCAGAGAACAGAACAGATTATACTGATGTAAAGCTCAAAACTTGTAATCATAAATATGGTTTCAGAAACCCAAGGATTACCTGTAGGCAGAAGAGAAAGTTTAAGAATTGGAACAAACCAATCATGGGAACTCCTATAATGTTGTCAATTTTATTTCTCTTTTGCAAGCCAGGAATCATTTTAGGTTTATTAAGATGGTGCTACATTAATTTAGTTCACTGCTCATCACTTAGTATTACACTAGTTGTGGTAATATATGTGTGTATGTATGTATATATGTATGCACGCACACACACACGTTTTTTAATCTTTTGGACTAAGATTTATGTATTTTCTATACATGTCCCATACATTAAAAAAGTAAAATTAACAAACACACATAAATTCAATTTACCTGTACTTTTTTCTTTCCTGGAACGCATATTCTTACACTTTTTCCTTTTATTTCAAGAGGTGTTGTTTCACTGTACTTCATGATTGCAGTAACTGATTTTCTAAACTCCATCTCCAAGTAAGCCTAAAATAAATGTTTTTGTAAATGAAAAAAAAAATCTGTGTTTAAAGACCTATTTTATTTATATTCAAAAATGTTTGAGATAGGATCTCATAAAGGCTGGCCTTAAACTGCTATGTAGCCAAGACTGTCCTTCAAAATTTGACCCTATTGCCCACAATTCCCATATGACACCTCACCTGGCTTATGGCTCTGCATTTTTATAATGGACTTAATGCTTCTCTGTAGAAAAGAAAACTATTAAGTTATCTCAAGAAGTGGTGCTTTTTTTTTTTTGGTTTGTTTTGCTAACCTATAATTTGATCTTAGGGTTGTTTCACTTTATATAATTTCTATACCATGACAAAGATAAGGGATGAGTCCATGGAAGGCTCCTGAAATAGAAGAAATGGAAAGGCATGGCTAACTGAACAACAGGAGGATACCAAGATCTAGCCTAGCTTTCTTTTCTTTTTTCTTTTTTTTTTTTTTTTGGGTGGGGGTGGTTCGAGACAGTTTGTAGCTTTGGAGCCTGTCCTGGAACCCACTCTGTAGACCATGCTGGTCTCGAACTCACAGAGATCCTCCTGCCTCTTCCTCTGCCTCCTGAGTACTGGGATTAAAGGCATGCACCAACCAACACCCGGCTTCTGGCTTAGCTTTCATTAAGCTTGATTTCTATTTTTTTTAAACTAAGGTTGGGAACCACCAAACAAATGTTAGTTATTTTTAGTGAAGATTCATCCACACTGATCAAATAATCCTAAGTGATAAGAAATGAAGAATGGGGCTGGAGAGATGGTCCAGATTTAAGAGCACTGGATACTTTTCCAGAGGATCTGCATTCAGGTCCCAGCACCTACTGGAAGTATCATGCATACTAGTGGTGTATAGACTACATGTAGACAAAATACCCATACACATAAAGACACATTTTTAAAAATTGCAGACTTTTAGTTTCCACAGATATCTCTAAGAAATCTCCTGAGTCAGTGAAAGTTTTTATCTAGTGAAACAAAACTCAGTTTTGATCTCTAGGTATCACATCTGATATGATCATCAAGCTCTTATGCCCTCCCTTCACCAACTTCCCCACCCCCTTCATCTTCCTAACAAGTCTTTTCTTATATTCATTTCTTTGTGGTCCAGGGCATTTAATTAAAATTGCACGCATGAGCAAAAGTGGAACATATTTAGCTAAACACCAAACCCAAAGCCTAGCAAGCACTCTATCACTGAGCTAAATCTCCAACCCCAAGCTCCAGATTTTTTAAAGCCTCTTGCTTAAAAGCAATTATCATTTATTCCCCTTGCATTAACTCACAGTAGTCTGTTACTCTCAATCTAGGGTTGGTATGTAATTCATAAACTTTATTAGGAATACAGCATACATGTGAACAATACTAACTATACAAAGAAAACCATTTATTTTATATAACTTAATTATGTACCCAAATTCATGTTTATTTTTACAATTTTTAGAAACATAGCAATACTTTTACATATTGATAACTACCTTCTATACCAAAGTGGCAAAGTACCTGTGACCCTATGACCAACCTACAAAACTTCAACAACATCAACACAAAAGCAACAAGTCTGCCTGAATTTTCACAAATGACTGATGACTCACCTCATTTCTACAAGGAACAAGGAGGACATCGCTAATGTTCCCAAATGGCTGAAATGTTTTTCTAATATCTTCTTCAGTAAAGCCATCCTCTGGCAGTTCAGATACAAGAAGAATTGAATTGGAACTCAAAGACTGATCTTTCCGAAGCCGAATCTGGAATGAAAGAAAATTAGAAAGAAAACACGTAAGACACAAGGTACAGTAATCACAACTCCACATATAATCTCTACTAACCATATTAGTATCTTTATGGATCTCTTACAGACATTATAGCTTTGTTCATTCTACATTCCAGTAATTCAAGGGCTGGGACCCATGCATGCCAGATGTATTGGTACACATTTCTAATGCCAGCCCTCGAGAGATACTGTCTTTTAAAAGAAAAATGCAGGGAAAGCTGCTTGCCTGCATTTGCCCAAGACTGGGCCAATGTGGCAGAGCAAATAGCTATGAGCTAGAGAATAATGAGTTTGTGTTCTTTTTAAGGAAGACCAGAAAGGTGAATAAGTCATCATCTGTAACTCACAATAAAAAGTATTTATTGTTTGATGTTTATTTTAAAAAATGAAGTGAGAAACAAGGCAGAGTGGTGTAAGTCTTTAATCTCAGCACTCAGGAGGCAGAGGCAGGCAAATTCCTGTGAGTTTCAGGACAACCTGATCTACATAGTGAATTCCAGAGCAGTCAAAGTTACATAGTAAGACTCTGTCTCAAAACAAACAAAAGCCAAAAAAAGGAATGAGGTATATTACACATAATATAGTGTATATATGACTACACATTACTGAAATACGATATTTACCAAAAATAAACTTAAAAAAGAAAACCTTTTTGAAAATTCTGTCAACAGAAATCCTGACACAAAATCGTATCAGATTAATTAAAAATGTTTTTATACTCACTATTAGTTTCTAATGATCTCAAACTTTAGTAATTACATATTGTTTTAAGGTTAACCATTAAAATATAACCTCTTATTACAAAGAATATAATTGTCTTCAATATATTTGGACAATTTCAAAAGTACATATCACAACCCCACAAAAATATTAGACTTATCACAGTTTAGGAGATATTATTTAACAATAATTCAACAAAATATACAGTATCTCAATATATTTAACAAATAGGTTATAAACAAAATATGCCAGGTAAACCAGGACTAAAAAGCAAATTACGCTATTACACTGAAAGCATAAACAGAAATTATCCTCACATTTCTAGCTGAAAAAAATTAAGACTCATTAATGCTGGTTGAACTCATTTCACCAGCCACAAAGCTTCTGTAGATAACAAAAAGCTTCCTCAATATCTCACAGCATATGTTTTTGTTGAGACATGTCTGTTAGAAGCCTTCTGCCTCAGCCTGTCTCACTACACTAAAGGAACATACTACTATTCTGATCTGACTAGCTTTTTTGCACACATCAAACACTAAACATCTGGCATTCCTAAACTACATGAAACATCAAACATCTGAGATTTCTAAACTACAATACTGAATTACTATTATTATTGTTGTTGTTGTTGTTTTATTATTCATAAGAAAAATTATCTCACATCAAATTTAACAAATATTTATTTCAAATTTACTGGAAATGTGACTCCAAAGACCCAATTTTATTTTCTGCTTGTCATAGTAGCAAATGCAGGTAGGTACACTTGCACTAATCCACAAAGGAATTACTGACCTTCCGTTGGACAAAAGCACCTTTACCAGACACCTGTTTACCTTCTGGTAAGGTGTCATCTTCAGGATTCTTAAACTTGTGAGCAGCATGTTCTCCTAAATGTGAGTCACTCTTTAAAGAGCTTACACATTTCACGGATGGCTTTGTTCCACTGGCAAGTTTAGGCTTTTGGGCTGTTAAGAGTCCTTTATCAACTGCTTCAATGTTTTTCTGTTTATTAACTTCTGTCCCATGTACAGAACGTTGTCCTCCATCTTCTACTGCCTTTTTTCTATCTGGTTAAAATAAAATACACATATGTACAAATTAAAAATAAGTAAAAGGCACGAAGCACTCTTATGACAATTCAGTCCTATTGTATTTTGGATTTTATTTCTAAGAGTATACAAATTATTTATTCAAGCATTTATTAAGCAAATGTTTGTTTAATGAGAAGTTATGTTACAAGACTGTTCATAAAACTATACAGTCTATTCCTTTGTTCAGTGAGTTTTCCTTATGTCAACAGTCCTCAAAGTTTTTGATGTAGAGTCTCTTGACAAACTCAGGAGGCCAGAGTTCATTTTTTGTTATATTCTTTTTATTTAACACATCAGATGTTTAAATATAATTTTAAAAAGGCTAAGTCATTTGATAGTAAACTTGCATATTTATATAGTTTTATAAAAGTTAACTATCAAAAGGATAAATGAGTAGTATCATTACACAATTTTCCAAATACATTAACACAGAACTTGAATGACACCAATCCCTGCTGTTTTATAAATCCCTGCTTCTGTACCCATTATGACGGTGGATACACAATTTTGGTTCAAAGTACAAGGAAAGTCAACTAGAACATAGATAAGTTCTTACAGAAATAAAAAGACCTTGTGGAACCCTATGGGAGACTTCAGGTTTCTAACTATTCTAAGATTAGCCAGTTTACACTTTTTAGGTATTTCCATTTCCATTCAATTTCTTAAAATATATTGACCATAACTGAAGATATGTTCAAGGTACTACTTTAACACGAACAAGGGTTTCTTTCATTATAGGCTATGTGTGTAGGTATGTGTATGTAGACATATACATATGTATGTATATATGTATGTATTTTAATAAATAAGCTTTAAGAAAAGTCATTAAAACATTATTAAATAAGAGATAAAAGATTGGTCTCAAACTTACTATATGTGTAGCAGAGAATAATCTTGAAATCTTGATCCTTCACCTAAGCCTCCCAATTTGTTGGAATTACAGGTGTGTACCACCATGGTTTATGTATGTATGCAGGTATTAATTAATTAATTTTTTTTGAGGCAGGGTTTTTCTGTATAGCTCTGGCTGTTCTGGAACATACTCTGTAGACCAGGCTGGCCTTGAACTCACAGAGAACCAGCTGCCTCTACTTCCCTAATACTAGGATTAAAGGCATATACCACCACTGCACAACTTGGTCCTTGATTTTTAAAATGGAAGCAGATGAACTAAACTTTCCATACATCTTGCTAGCTCTTAAGTGTTGGTCCAATTTCATATAGCAACTTTAAAACTTAAATAAACCTAACAGTTCGTTTCCAAAATTCCAAATAAAGTGATGACATCAGGATCATTGTTGTACCTGATCTCACTGATCTTCTTGAGGTTCTTTCAGGGCTAGCTGACCGGTAGGACTTTGGGCTTCTTCTAATAAGATTTCGACTTCGATATGGAGAACGGGATCTGGATCTGGATCTGTATTTAGAAATGAAACGATGGCAAATTCTTGGACTTCGACTCCTTGGTCTATAGCTATAACGAGCTGGACTTCGGGATCGACGGTATCTGTGACTTGAGCTTGATCTCCTAGAATGCCTGGGACTGGGGGAATGAGAATGAGAACGTCTTCTTGGAGTTTCATTTTCTTTCCTATTGCTCTCATTTCTATAGAGGAGATAACAGAAACAAGACTCAGCAATTCAATGTAGATTTAAACTATATTAAACAACATAAATAGCTTTTTAAACAAACATTTGTTTTCACTGCTTATTATTTGTGAGTGTGCATGTGTGTACAGGTGCCCATGGAAATAGCAGAACTGGGATTATACATTGTTGTGAGCCGCCCCACCTGAGTGCTAAGAACTAAATTCAGGTGGCAATTCTCAATTTCAGTCTCCTAAATGCTGGTATGAACTACCATGCCTGGCTCAGTAGTAATTTATTTAAAAGAAGCTACTGGGCTAGCAAACCAGTTCAGTGAGTAGAGAGGTCCTTTGCAAGTAGACCTCACAACCTGAGTTTGATCCCCAGACCCTACAAGGATGCAGAAAACCAACTCAGGAAACTTGTCCTCTGATGTCCACAGTAACCATGGCACATATTCATATGAACCAACACACACAAAATAAATCAAAGAATGAATGAAAAATGTATCTACTCTTATGAGTACAGAAAAAGTAATTTGAACAGATGATTAACCTTCAGTCTGCTTAGAACCCTCTTTTTTCTAGTTTACATTTGAGTATTTTTATCTACTTCCTATGTTTTTCTCTGTATCAGTTATTTTGCAATTATTTTAAGGTTTTTTTGTTTGTTTGTTTGTTTTAGTCAACATAGAGTTTCACTATGCAGCTGTGGCTGTCCTAGAACTCACTCTGTAGTCCAAGCTGGCCTCGAACTCAAAGAGATCCACCTGCTTCTGTTTCCCAAGTGCTGTGATTAAAGGTGTGTGTTACTATCACCTAGCTGGAAATTACTTATATAAACTGTTTTTCAATGAATTTTCCCTGAAAGATTATGTCATTTAAACATACGTCACTGAATTCTGTACATTAATAAGATACTTCTCAGCATCCAAGTTGTTTATATATTTAAAATTAAGCACCCACAAACACAAAATGATAATAGGATCAGAATAAAATATTAAGAAAGTGAAAGCCCATGGAAAATGCACAATTAAGCTGCAATAAAGACCCATCATTTGCCAAACATTTAAAAATAAACACAATAGCAGGATACAGTCTCTCTCTCTCTCTCTCCCTTTCTCTCTCTCCCTTTCTTTCTCTCTCTCTCTCCCTCCCTCCCTCCCTCCCTCCCTCCCTCCCTCCCTCCCTCTCTCTCTCTCTCTCTCTCTCTCTCTCTCTCTCTCTCTAATCCTAGCACTTGTGAGACAGAGGTAGGGGATCTCTCTGAGTCCACGACCAGCCTGTTCTAGCTACAGAATTCTAGGATAGCCAGGACTCTGTCTACAACAAAACTCAAAACCAAAATCCAAAACCATGATAAAAACAGGACAACTCCAAAAAATAGCTTCTAAAAATTTTATTGTTTACTTTTAAAAGGAAATAAAGTTGTAATAACTAATACTATTAAAAATATTACCTTCTGGATGGGAGGATCTCAGGGTTCCAATCAGGGTATCTATTTGAAACATAAACACTATTAATGATAGTTTAAGCAATGTAATATTTTAATCATTTAACTAATAAAATTAATCATTAAATTAACAATTATTCTTTATCTGAATTGTGTCAGAACTGCTCAAAATTAAGTTTATATATAATTTAAGAAGTTGAAATATGGTCATGTGGTAGCAACATACACTTTTAATCCCAGCACTCAAGAGGCAGAGGCAGGTACATATCTGTAAACTGGAGGCTAGCTTTGTCTACTGAGTTAGTTCCAGGACAGCCAGAGGTACACAGAGACACCCTGCCCCCCCAAAAATAAAAAAAAAAAAAGTTGAAATATGAAATTTTTTGAGAATAACATTTTTATGTCTAATTCACTATCTGATCAAGGTATCACACTAGTAAATACATCAAAAATTCATCAAGACCTCAATTTTTGCTTAAGTCAAATAAATAGTATACCAAGTTTTTTAAGGTACAAAATATTAGTCTAGGTAGGGATAAAGAGTAGAGAAGAGAGATGCTAGACATAGCTGCTTTCCAAGCACTTGGGAGGTGAAAAATAATAGAGTTCAAGGCCATCTTCATCTTCTTCTTTCCTTCCTTCTTTTCTTATTTTCTTCCTTCCTTCCTTCCTTCCTTTCCTTCCTTCTTTCAATTCTGTGAAGCTTTGGCTGTCCCGCAACTAGTCCTATAGACCAAGCTAGCCTCGAACTCAGAGATCTACCTTTCTCTGCCTACAGAGTATTGGGATTAAAGGCAGTACCACTATTTCCTATACATTAGTATTTCTTAACCTGTGGGTTGAGACCCCTTTGTAAGTTGAATGACCCTTTCACAGGGTTGTTCACATATTAAATATTTATATTACAATTCATAACAGTAGCAAAATTACAGTTACGAAGAAGCAACAAAAATAATTTTGTTGTTGGTGATCACTGCAACATGACAAATTATATTAGAGAGTTACAACATTAGGAGGTCTACATCTACATGAGACACTGGCTGAGAAGATAGCTCAGTCTGTAAAGAACTTGTTGCACAAGATGACACAAAAGGCACCTAAGGATCATCAACAGCCAATGTTGACACAATGCACTCACCCACTGCACCCCAACCCCATACATAAAGGGGAAGACAAAAAGAAGAATCTCACCCATTTTACAAAATTCTAGAGGAAAGCTGAAAAAATTTGTCAAAGTTAAGACTGCATCTTGTTCTTGAAGAGAAGCATCCACATCAGGTGGCTCATAGCCACTTGCAAGTCTTTCAGGAGAATCTGATGCTTCTGGACTTGTAGGCACCTATACTCATATGCATGTACCTACAGAGAGGCACATATGCATATACATAATTTAAGAACAAACCTCTAGGGAACATATCATTTTCACACTTTCTGTTGGGACACACAGAACACACAACATTGTATCATACTCTTTTAAGTTATATCCAACAGCTTTTTAGGCAGTCCTTTAAAAACATACTGATGATCTTGGCATTGGAGAGGCAAAAGCAGACAATATCTCTGTGTGTTTAAGACAACCCTGGCATACATGCAAGTTCAAAGCCAGCCAGGGATACTTGGTGAGAACCTGTCTCAAAAAATAAAATCTATTAACAGGCCTGGACTGTTAACTGCTAACATGGTGGAACAAAGAAAAACCTGGAGGCAAACCCCAGTTGGTCCTACTCCAGGCACTGGTTAATGCAGCATAGAAGTAATAGAGGGCATAAAAAGGGAAACAATATAGAATGGTTCCTTTAAAGCAGTGGTTCTCAATTCCTAATGTTAAGATCCCTTAAGACAGTTTTTCATGTTGTAGTAACCCCCAACCATAAACTTATTTTCACTGCTACTCCATAACTGTAATTATGCTACTATTATGAGCTGTAAAGTAAATATTGTATTTTCTGATGGTCTTAGGTGATGATCCCTGTGAAAGGGTCACTCAAGTGCCCAAGAAATTGTGACGCACAGATTGAGAACCACTGTACTAGAGAGAAAAAAAAAACAACTTGAGAAGGCCCCTTATAAACTTGCACAAAAAGTAAGACAGCCAAGTGGTGGCTCATGCCTTTAATCCCAGCACTTGGTAGGCAAAGGCAGGTGAATCAGAGTGAGTTCGAGGTCAGGCTTCTCTACAAAATGAGTTCCAGGACAGCTGGGCTACACAGAGGGGATGGGGGGAGCAGGAGCAATGGGAGTTTGTAAACATTTATTTGAATTAAAAAATTATTATTGTATGAGTATATTTGCAGCTGTGTATGTCATGGCACACATATCGTCAAAGAACTTTGTAGAGTCAGTTCTGTATGTACCTTTCCACCTTAACGTGGCCTTCAGGGCCAGAGTTCAGGTAATCAAGCTTGCATGGCAAGCACCATTGCCAACCAAAGCATCTTGCTGGCCCCCTCAAGAACATTTCTAAAGCAAAGATAAGGGAATGTTTAAATAACATTTATGAGTATCTGGAATTAAGGAGAAAGATAAAGACTGAGACATTTAGAAATTAAACATAAAGAAGACCTAGCTCTATACTCTTAAGTGTAAAAGTAACACAGGGTAGATGTATAAATATGGACTCTGAAAATAGAATCTTACGTTTGTTAACACTTAAAACAGAAAAAGACAAAACAATGTAAGAATAAATAATCAGGGAGAGCTGGGAGTTGGTGGCTCACGCCTTTAATCCCAGCACCTGGGAGGCAGGGGTAGGTGGATATACAGAGTGTGTTCCAGGACAACCTCCAAAGCAACACAGAAACCCTGTCTCAAAAACAAACAAAAAGAATCAGGGAGAAAGAGGGATAGGAAACAGTAATATCAAAGAAGTTTTAGAAAGACTACATCTTTGTGCTAAATTTACCAATCTGTAACCTACTAGTGGATATATTCAAAAATTCAATCTCAGCAGCAAGATAAAAAGTACAAAATAGACTCTCTGCTCCTCCCTGTTCCAGGAACAGTTGAATCTCCTCATGTATTGACAGCTTGTCCCTAAGACACAATGGCAGAGGTCAGAGGGAACATTTAGCTATATTGGATGCCTGGTCACCAGGGCTACCTTCAAATTTGACAAAGCTGATATTGTTGCCATCAATGACTCTTCACTGACCTCAACTAAATATTCTAAACATTCCAGATTGACTCTAATCCAATATAAGTTTCATAGAACAGCAAAGGCTGAGAATGGAAATTTGTCATCAATAGGGAGTAAATCTCCATATTCTAGAAGAGAAATTCCCATCAACAACAAAAGGGGCGATGGTAGTGCCAAGTATGTTATAGAGTACTGGTATCTTCACCACTATGGAGAATGTCCACTTGCTGGGTAGAGTCAAAGGGGTGACCATCTCTGTTCCTTCAGTTGATGCCATGTTTGTGATGGGCATAAATTATGAGAAGTATGACAACTCACAAAAGATAGTTATCAATGTCTCCTGCCCCACCAACTGTTTAGACCCCTGGCCAAGGTTATCTACAACCATGTTGGTATTGTTGAAGGACTCGTAACCATAGTTTGTCATTACTGCCACCCAGAAGACTGTAGACACCCCCTCTGGGAAGCTGTGGCAAGATGGACAGAACAGCATTCCTACATCCACTAGTATTGCCAAGGCTGTGGCAAGGTCATCCCAGAGCTGAACAGAAAGTTCACTGGCATGGCCTTTCATGTTCTTATTTCCAATGTGTCCCTGGTGGATCTGACATGTCACCTTGAAAAAGCTGCCAGTACAATAATATAAAGATGGTAAAGCAGACACTGAAGGATCTAGGCATCCTGGGCTATACTGAGGACCAGATTGTCTACTACAACTTTAACAGTGATGTCAACTTCTCCACCTTTGATGTTGCAGCTGGCATTGTTCTTAACAACTTTGCCAAGCTAATTTCCTGGTATTAAATGAATGTGGCTATGGCAACAGGATGGTAGTCCTCATGGCCTACATGGCTTCCAATGAGTAAGAAGTCCTGTGTGGTGGTTTCAATGAAAGTGGGCCACATAGGGTCATGTGTTTGAATGTTTGTGTCCCAGTTAGTAGAACTGTTTGGAAAAGACTGAGAGATATGACCATTGGAGTATAATTGGCCTTGTTGGAGGAGGTGTGACACTGGGACTGGGCTTTGAGGTTTCAAATATCCACACCAGACCCAGTCTAATCTGTTTCTCTTCTCTCCTGTTCCCATCCCCACTCTCTGCCTTTGGATGAGGAAGTAAAGCTCTCAGGTACTGTTCTAGTGCCATTCTTGTCTGCTGCCCACTGTGATGATCATGGACTAACTTAACTGTAAGCAAGTCCTTAATCAAATGCTTCATTTTTTTTTTTTTAAGAATTGCCTTGGTTATGGTGTCTCTTCATAGCAATAGAACAATAACTAAGACACCCTGGACCAGCTACCTTAACAATAACAAATGAGAGGGAGAGAGAGGGTGTCACTCAGATGCTGCGGAGTTCCTAAAACAACTCAGCACCAAATACAGAGCCACTTTCTCTCAGTTTCCATTCCAGATCTTCAAAAGAAGAGGAAGGACTTAGAAATCCCTACTCTCTTGAACATCAATAAAATTCATTACACCCAACATCCCAAAATTAATAATAACAGATGATCAACAAATTATCTTTCAGAAAAGTATAAATGAAATCAAAACCCTTGGAAGAGGTAGTTTTATTTGCTGTTGTGTGCTTCAGATTTTTTTTATAAGCTAACCACACTCTCAATTTCCTTTTCCCGTTTACAGCCTATAGTTCAAAACATAAGTAAGTTAAAATCTGCATTCCCACCTCTACAGAAAGAAGCCAGTAACAGTCTCATGTATGAAATCAGAAATAATCATGTTGATGTACCATGGATGATTTAAGTCAAGCATATATTATAAAGCATTCAGTATTATATGTCTAGTATATAATACAGTATAGCTGTACTTAATACTAAAATTTTGGTACAATATATCTTTTTTTCCTCAGGCTGACCAGCTACTCCTTATGCTATATAATCCAGAAAAAGCTAAAAGAGACAAAGAAGAAAACATAAGCTATAAAGACTAAAGACAATAAATATTTATCAATACAAACTACACATAGTATATATACACAAGGAAACACAATGCAGCTTAGGAGAACAAAGAATGAAGATGACAATTTATTTAACTTGGTAAATTTTCATAGAGGAAATCACGAAAAACATTACTCAAGAGGACACAACCTGAATAAGGTAAAGAGTGGAATAAAGCATTAAAAGAGGGTTTGACACAGTGGCACAAGCCTTTAATCCCAGCATTCTGGAGGCAAAGGTAGGTGGATCTCTGTGGGTTCAAGGCCAGTCCCATCTACAAAGCGAGTTACAAGACAACAGCTAGGGCTATACAGAGAAACCCTGTCTCAAAAAAAAAAGGGGGGGGGAGGGGGTCCTGTTTTCCCCACCCCCGAGACAGGATTTCTCTGTGTAGCTTTGGAGACTATCCTGGACTCAATCTGTAGATCAAGCTAGCCTCAAACTCACAGGGATCCACCTGCCTCTGCCTCTGCCTCCCAAATGCTGGGATTAAAGGTGTGTGCCACCACCAGAACTAAGTTTTCTTAAGGCCAAAGCAAGGCCAAGAAATGAAAATATTCTTGACACTCATTTTTGTTTGACATAAAATTCAGCTATTTCTAAAATAAGAGCTACTCTCTGCAACTTCTGTCAGATGAACTAATTTTCTTTATAACTAACTGTGGCAGCTGAATAGATGGCTCAGTAGTTAAGGGCACTTGCACTTGTTGCTCTTAGATAAAACTTGCATTCAGTTGCCAGCACCCATAATTCCCGTTTCAGAGGACACTTGTGGTGCATAGACATGCACATAGAAAAAACACTCATACACATATTAAACAATCTAAAAAATTTCCAAAGACTTTGTATTTTGAGGTAGGATTATGACTTTATACTGGAAGAGTCCTGAATAATTCTCAAACCCCAAAAGAGTATCAGTGTGGTGACTGAACTATTTAACATAGGAGAAACAATTTAACTTTGCTATTCTAAGGGTAATAGGGTAACATGGTTAGGGCTATAAATTTCATTTCTATGGCCATCATGAAAACCCTCCCAGATACCTTGCTTAAAGAAGGACTAAGAACTGGGCAGTGGTGGTGGTACATGTCTTTTAATCACGGCACTTGGGAGGCAGAGGCAGATGGAGCTCAATGAGTTCAAGGCCATCCTGGTCTACAGAGTGAGTTCCAAAGCAACCAGGGCTGTTAAACAGAGAAATTCTGTGTCAAAAAAAAAAAAGCCAAAAAAGAAAAGGGGGGGGAGTCAATTTCTCCCCTTAAATTTTATTCTGAAAACAGGTGCTGAGAAGGAGAAAAGCTTTATAATGGAAATTAAATAGTGGTATATGATCTGTGTTAGCTTTGAATTATTTAATCTTTGAAAAATGGGTGAGATAATTAAAAAGAATGGTATCTGTTCACAACCATTCTGGAAAAGGCAAGAAAAATCAATTAAAATTTTTTGTAATTATCTAACGGGGATTAAGTTAGGAAGAGACAGTAAAGGATCACAGGGCACTTATCTTTTGGAAAATTAAACATACTTTTCCAGGATAATTATTTTAAATAAGCAATAGCTTTAAAAAGTATTAACATAATTATCACACTAAAAATATTTAATAGTTAATGTGATCATTAGCTATTTTCTTCTAACTCTGCTGCCTATTTAAAAAAAAGGGAAGAAAATGTTCTTACTGTTGACGTAATTGCCGACAGCTCTCAATATGGGTGGAAGTGTTTTGATGCTGAATCCAGTCCTATTGTAAAAAAAAAAAAAGAGAAGGTTGCAATTAAAACAATCCTCTTGTTCACTGATGAATTAGGCTTTTTTTTTAAATGATAAAGGGTATTTGAAAATTTAACAAACTGAATTGTAAATAGTATTTTTATAAATAGTATTTAGATACAACATAATTTTCACAAATAAAAATGAAAGTCCTCCAAACAAATGCATTTAACCCCAGACCTTGTTAACCCCATTTAAAAGATATTTAAGTAAAATGTTTTTAATTCATGCCCATGAACATTCATTTTTAAATGTATACATATATTTAGACTTGACTAAAAGGATAAATTAAAAAAATAACATCTCGAATATATAAAAGCAACATTTCAAAAAACACCAACATTCTATCAAGTAGTATCTCTGAGATGGTGCCTTCCAAAGACAGCATCTTGATAGCTTATCTTCTAAAGATTAAGCAAATGACACTGACCATCAAAACATGACTTCAAAAGCTAGTGGCATTCCAAACAAGGTACTCACTATATTGGGAAAAAGATTAGTAAAGTAGTAAAAACTACCAATGATCAAATCTAATTTATTTTCAAGACTTAAAGGAAAGTAACACAAGTTCAAAGCCATAGTATCCCTCACACATACAGCTTTACAATTAATAAAAATGCTTTCCTATACACTTTGTTTACAAATGAGTGTCCTAAAATTACAATCTATAACAATAAATACCTCCTAGAAGATATAATTGATTAAAAGAGGGACAGGGAAAAAAGAACAGGTAATACAGTTTTTAATATAATAGTCTCCAAGTGAACGTGTCTATTACTCAATGTTTTATTGTTCCTCCAATAACACAAATTAAAAAAAGGAGAAAGAAAAAAACAACCCAACCCTAACAGCTCTGTATTTTTAAATTTCTAAGAACGACTTTTGTTTCCACTTCAAAAACATTTTAATTTACATCATTCCTAAAAACAAAGCTTCCACAATTAAACTACAGTTGACATTAATTCTGAGTTCTACCTTGGCAGGAGCTACCTGAAAGTCAAGCTACTTCCAACACTGTGCATCTAAGTTTTGACAGACTAAAGGATTTCATTAAACTTCCTAGCTTAATTGTACACTGTAAAAACAAAATGTCTGCATAGCCTCCTTAGTGCTACAAATAAAAAGCTAAAAGAAATCAGCAATCAATAGTCTGTAGTAAAGTGCTCAACCCCATGTCTTTGATATTAATAACATATTGTTTTTACCAAATAGACACACTGGCAGGCAGGAAATTAGGTATGATTTATTTGCATCATAAAATGTTTTGTTTGGCCGGGTGATGACGCACACCTTTAATCCCAGCATTCAGGAAGTAGAGGCAGGCAGATGTCTGTGAGTTCCAGGCCAGCCTGGTTTACAGAGTGAGTTCCAGGACAGCCAGAGCTGTAACAGAGAAATCCTGTCTCAGAAAAAAAAAAAGTTTTATTTGACTAAGTCGCCAACATTTATAAATCCAGATTTCACCCCAAAATCTGATTTTCAGCTTTTCTTAAAACACATACAAAGAAATAACAATAATGGATAACGATTCTTTGTAGCATATAAGCTGAAGGTAGTCAACACCCAGCTTACCTAAGGCACTATCTTTAATTCAACTCACACATACACAGTCTTCCAACAGACATCCTTCTCAATACAATAAGCTCAGTAAATGTATCTATGCAACCCCAATTTCAGACTTCATGGTACCCAGATAGCTGCTCAAAAGCAGCACTGCCTCTATAAGAAAAATAATTATCTAAGAAGCAAAGATGCTCCAAAAACTAGACTTGGGCTGGCTCTGAATCAAGCTATGAAAACACTAATTCCTATCAAAGCTTGCTCTTCATCTTCTGACTAGCTTCAATAAAAAATATCTGTTGCCCAATGACCAGAATTCAATCACTACTTGGACCCACATGATAGAAGTAGAGAGTCTAACTCTCTCAATATTCTAACCTCCACAAACTCACTTGGACACAAGTGTACCAACACTCACAAACACACAAAATATATGAATGAATAGATAAATTGGTTGAGTGTCTTGAATCAAGTTATTTCAGTCAGAAGAACATAGGAAATCAAGGCGAATTTCTTTAAAAACCTGAACCCCAGTTTGTAATGAAACACATTCAGTTACTGCATTCTCCAAGTACACCTCAAGTTACAGTTTGAAAGACTCAAATGTAGAAAGCAAAGATGTTGTAGGATTTACTTAATAGTAAAAAAGCCTCAAACCAGAAATTCACAAGTACTAGCTACACATTTCTAGGACCACAAATATATACATATACACAAGGAAATGAAATATATCACAAGAGGCAAATTGTACATCTAAATCCACATTCACATGCCATCATTGTCCATCAAGCAGATATGAATTCTTTAATTAACTGAGTCCCGATCTGTTATGCTGACTGTTAAGACTAGGAACAGGGAAATATACATACACAGCAAACTTGTGGAAGTCAGAGGACAACCTTGGAGTTCAGTCATCACCTTCCACACTTGAGACAGGGTCTCTGCTGTTTTCATTGCATATACAGATTAACTGGCCTACAAGTCTAGAGATTTTCTGGTCTTTATCTACCCATTTCCCAATAGGAATCTAGGATTGCTGCAGATGCTCATGTCATTCACTCAACTGTTAGGCTTTGAACTTGGGGATCAAAGAACTCAGGTCCTCACACTTTTACTCACTAGTCCACCTCCACAGTTCAAAGGAAGTGCTTTTTAATGACTAAATGACTAATGACTGCTTTCAATTTTTTCTTTTACGTTACTAACCCAGGCTTCTCTAGCTTACATTTGAATAACTAGGGAAGCTTCCAATTAAGTGACCTACCCCATCTCCCTTTTTCCTATTTATCTACACTTAAATGTCTCTGAAACACTTTCAATGTGTCGCTTCACATATCAAAAAAATTAATTAGCTCTCCAATGTCTTCCACCTCAAATCTAATTTGACAATAGCTTTTCAAGGCCTTGAATATTTATTTCTATTCTAGTATGTTATTCACTGCCTCATATCATAAAGCCTTCTCTTCTCTAAGAACCTTTGCGTCTCTACATGTTGCTGTTCCCATCTGAAATGCCATCTTTCTTATTTAGAAAAGCATAGTAAGCCTTTCTCATCATTCAAAAATGTCTTCAAACTACTCCATAAAGACTTCTCTCCCAGATGACTCTATTCCAAACAATCCATCTGGTACCAGCCTTATCTAACTAGACTATAATAAAAGTTTTCTCAAACCAAAAACAGACTTAAGCTTTTTTTTTTTTTTTTTTTTTCATCACAAACTGCTAAATACTCTACAGGCACTATAATGCTTGCCTGATCCCTACAAATCTGAAATCAACATAAAAATAATATCTTTCCTCGATGTCATGCACAAATTGTTAAATGTCACCAAACAATTTGTTTTTGGTTTTTCTAGACAAGTCTTCTCAATATGGCTATAACTATCCCAGAACTCACTCTATAGACAAGGCAGGCCTCAAACTCAGAGATCCACCTACCTCTGCTTCCTGTGTGCTGGGACTAAAGGCATGTGCCACAACCATCTGCTTGTTTCTAACATTTAAAACATTCTTGGGTATATTTTCTTGATGAGACTGTATAAACTGCTTTACAAAACAAATTTTATATAGTTCAAAATAAATGGAAGTGTTAGTGGTATGCTCAATTACAATAACAAAGAGCATCCAACGCTCAGTCTAGGGATACTTACAGATTTCAAAGTGCTATAAATGAATTACTCAGATTTTTCTGAATGACAAACAACTTAATCCCCTTTGGTGGAGTAAGGCAACTACTACTGTATTGAAATCCAGCATATTGCTGCTTCTTTATTGAACCCAGGGCCTGGTATGTGCTAAATATGTGCTCTACCACTGAACTACACTCCCAGCTCAGAATGATGCTTCCTTTTGCCAGTTAATTTGAAAACGTGAGTATTCAATGCAGGTTTTAGATTATTGACTGAAACCTGATAAATGAATATAAAACACAATAAAATGGCAATATTTACAGGAGAAAAAAAATAACAAGAGAATGAAAATTAACACATAAGTAAACTTGTTCAAGCCACCCAGCCAATTCAAGGCTAAAGCTTTAAATTAAAGCTTCTTTTAAAATGCATTCCCTTCTCACCACCCTCTGTATCTATAAACTGCATTAGTAAACAGAAAAACCAGTGCAGTCTATGGGACCTCTGACAGTGGAACCAGTATTTATCCCTAGTGCACAAATGGACTTCAGGAACTGATTCCCCATGGAGGGATACTCTCTCAGCCCAGATACACGGGGGATAGCCTAGGCCCTCCCTCAAATGTGTGATAGACTTTGATGATCCCCCATTGAAGGCCTCACTCTCCCTGGGGAGTAGTTGGGGGGTGTGATGGGGAGGTTGGTGGGGAGCATAGGAGGATAGGAGGGAGAAGGAACTAGGATTGATATTTAAAGTAAGATTGTTTCTAAATTAAATTAAAAAAAAAAAAAAGAAGAACCACCAATGGTTCCTGTACATGTATGTAAAAAGGGGGAGAGGGGTGGTTCCTGTTCATATTTACCAGTGATTAACATCAAATAGCATATACTACATAATACTATTCTTCAGCGCCTATGCAAAATTTTCTCTCTGAATTTCCTGCATTTTACTCTATTTTCTGAGCCCAGGCTGGTTCCATAATCATCACTACATCCTGAATCATTCTGTCATGAAATTATTTTAAAAGTGCCTTCTCAAGTAACACTGAAAAATTACTGGTCCATACAAAAATCAGAATCACTTAAAGCAACATTAAGATCTTAGAACGCAATGCTAAAATATACTGTCCTTTGAAAGTGTATATTACAAATGAGTTTTATGTCTAATAAATCTTAAACATACTTTCTCATGGAACACTGTTATGATTATATAATTATATAAATTTGATACTGTGTGAGAAAACTAAAAGTTCAAATAAATTGCAAATTATGTACTATGCCAAATAAGAGGAATGCAGAAAGCCTAACATTCATTTCAGTACTAAGGTTACTTACGATTACAAGTAGGTGACAGGATTGCAATCAAAATTAATTGGTCACTTACTTAATGCTTTGTTAACAGCCCATACATAACAGAATTTAGAGAAAACCTGGACGCTGAGCATCATTGTACAGCAATCTTTTAAAAAACACTCACCTTCAAATGACTACATTCTACGTTACACAGAGAACACAAATGTGGAAATATTCTCGGAGACGCTGCATAATAATCATTCATCATAGAAGGGGTTGGCAGTCTCTTCATTTTCTGGGCACCAGCTTGTGTAAACTTTGGTAGCCACGAAGCTTTCACAATCCCAAAGGGAGACCGAATGGGCAGGTCAGCCTCTGATTGGTAACTCTTTTTACTTCCTCTAGATCCAACATGTGGATCAGCTGAACTGATCACAGTCTTCTGTGGGATCCGCTCTTGCTGGCTTAAAGCTGAAATTAATTCAGATGAAAAGGATGGCTGGTTCACAGATGGAGGAATAAGAGATTGGCTCATTGTCTGGCTAACTGTTTGGCTAATAGACTGGCTGACAGATTTTACAGGTTCAAGGACTGACTGTCCTGAAATGTGTAAGCCTGACATCTTGTTTCCACTCTCAACTGGGAAAAATGACTGACTGGAGGACTCACCAGGAAAGTCCATCTGATGAAACACATCTTCAACATGAAACACAGAATTAGATATCACATTTGAAGAGGGAACAGTTGCAGAAATGTTCTGCTGCGTCCGAAATTCATTCTTGACTTCATCAGTTGGAATTTCAGGATCATAAATACGTACTTCAAGTGGATCTTCTGTATAGCCATATTTGCTTGCGTGCCCATAATCAATCACATTACTTGAAACCGCTTCTTTACCAAGTGTTTCCTTATTTCTGCTGTGAGAAGGTAAGTTAGGTAATCGGCGCCCCACTTTTCGCATTCTTATATCCCTCAATATTAATGGCATATTTTCAGGAGTTAGCTGATCATCAGGATAGCGACTAAGTTCTTCTAGGTCTTCATTTGATAATCCAAAACTTGCTAAGATACTTGAGGCACTCTCCTTTGTATAGCGGTTCTGTACTTTAGGACTCTGCTCTGTAACCTGGGTTACAGAACTCTGTTTCACTCCCACTGGTGGAGTTATATGAGGCTCATCATCCCACCGACTACCATGAGGTTTCCCCTTCTTTTGTTGTGCTTCATGAAAATCCATTTTTTCTTTGGTTAATCTTGGATCAGTTCGGTGTTGAGTTACCTGAACATTCATTCTCTGTGGTCCCATGTTCTGATAAGATTCATGGCCAGGAAATCTGTGTGGAATTCCACGGGCTCTCCCTGCTGGGTAAAATCTTGGAAGACCCATAGATCCAGGCCTCATAAATGGTCCTGGAGGCCTCATCCCAGGAGGATTAGGTGCTCTTGGCCTTTGAAGTGGAAAGGTCCCTCGAGGATTAAACCTGGGTCTCGACATGGCTACTTTCAAGAATGCCTGATTTAATAAAGTATAAGGTGGTGTTGAACCATGTGAGGCAACGGCATTCAGCTGCTGAAGCGCCAACTGAGTCTTAATCTGAGCAAAGTGCAAAGGAGATGGGCCCAACAGAAGTGGGTTTGCAATGCCCAGGCTCAAGGAATTCACAAGTGGTGCGAAATTTTCCAAGAATAACACAAAGCTGAAAGTTAAAACACAAATATTAGATCATTTTAACTCAACTACTTCATGAAGTGGGTTCTACAGCCAGAGTAAAACATTTTTGAAATAAAGCCATGATACCATATTGCATTGCATATATTTTAAATTTTCCCTTAAAATGGTCTCTTCTTTTCCAAATCCAGAACAAAACCCCAAACCTCAAGCCAGAGTTCATGTATATTGCTGTGCACGATGTGGGGTGCTGGGTGCTGTCCTAGGTGCTGAGATGTAATTCACAAGTCCTTTTACATAATCTTGAAAAAGACTGAGGATTTACTTTGTGGTTTTAAACTGGAAAAAAAAGATGAAGGCATTAAAATTCTTAGAAACGAACACACACTCAGCATGTGTGTGATCAGACATAAGAAAAATGAAAGAACTGTAACTTTAAAGTTTTATTTAGACCCATGTTTATAAGAAACATTATTCCTTGGAGTCAGCCTTCACATCTACTAAATTCCACATGACAATTAAACTATCCTGTGATTGAACAGTTGTTTCAGGTAAAATAAAATTGTGTCACCAAGAATCTAATTACAAAGTCTAACAAAAGAAGTACAATGTCATGTAATTCCTTATAACATAGAACATTTAACAAAACCAGTTGCACTGACCTTTCTTTCACTGTTGAGAATACAGACAAAATACATAGGCAACAATGATTAACTTTATAGGCAATGTCTATAAAGTGTTAGTTGCTATTCTAAGCACTTTACATGGATTTACTCATTTAGTTCTCACAATTCCCAGAGATTTGCATAGTTTTACACTGAGAGACTAAGTAACACATAGACATATGTTGGGATTTGCATTCAAATCAAATTCATAATTAGTTTAGCCCCACAATCCATGGTCATAACCACTAACAGATGTGACTAACACTATCCTGCAGGTATCAAGACATTAAATTTGCTAAAAAGGTGGTCACTGACCAAGTCACATTGCTACACTATCCAGTCTAACCAATTTCAACTATCATTCAGGACCAAGGTCAGCGGCCACAATGGGTGACTTTCCTCTTCCATATATTGAAAGATTGAAATGTATATCCATGTGTTTAGTTACATACATGTAAGTACGAGTGGCTGAGGAAGCTAGAGGCATCAGATACCCCTGAACTAATTAAAGGTGTTTATGAGCAGTATGCCATATGGCTGCTGGGAAAACCTGAATCATCTCTCCAGACACACACAACAGTTTTATAAGGTTCTGGGGATTAAAAACTCAATCCTCATGCTTTATTTATGCTTGCTAGTTAAGATGAAAATATATTTGGGTAAAACTCTATTCATTTGGTAAACATTATCTCTCTTCAAATCCAACCACTTGCATAATTGTCAACATTTTTTCCAGACCTGAGACCTAATAAGTGCTCTACCAGAGCTAACTTAACTAAATTGCCCCACACTTCATTTCTTTAATTTTTGTAAAACATGTTTACCACATTACTCCTATTCAAACATCTAAAAGGATCCCATCCTTTTTAATTTTTGTATGTATATTGTCCAACAATCTAGCCAGTCTCTCTCTACCTTTGTTATTTACCAGGCATTTATTCCAGTGAGGCCTTTGTATTTTTCTCTTTCCATTAAAACAACCAACTTGCCTTGGATGGTGACTGACTTACTTGATTTTATACTTATTCTGTATAGTCAGCTTCCATAAAAATTTCCTTCACCACTAAGATTGAGTCTCAACATCCTTTCTTAAGTATTTCTTGAACCACTTTCAGTATTTCTAGCTTATGTTTTATGCTAATAAAATGTATGCCTTTCTCAACAATGCAGCATCAAACGAAGCTGTATGTTTTCCCAAGTATACAAGATCACATTCAAAGTTTTCATTATCAATGTACATAAATTAGGTTTTTTAAAAACTCTATATCCATCAATCTATTCATGTGTCTGTGTGGATGAGTATGGGGATATGCCTGCCACGTCATATATGTGATAAGTCAGGGTACAATCTCTGTTGTTGATCTTTGCCTCCTACCTTGATTGAGATAGGGTCTCTTTGCTGTTTACTATTGCATATGTCAGGTTGGCTGACCCAAGACCTTCTAGGGATACTATTGTCTCTATTTCCCACCTCCCTGTAGGAATTCTGAGATTGCAGAAGCTGGAATCAACACCCAGCTTGCCATGAGTTCTGGAGATCTGAACTCAGATCTTCATGCTTGTGTAGGAAGTGTTTTACCTACTATCTCCCCAGTTCTCATATTTCAAGCTAGACTGAAACACAAAAATAAAAATAGTCCAGACTATGAATTCACCAACAGCAAATCCAAATTCATTATTTTTAAAATGCTATTTGCAACAAACTCCAGAAATCACAAGTCATTAAATTAATTTACTTTGCCATAGTAGACTCCTTCTAATAACAACTTTGCCTGGGATCCTTAAAAATAAGCACTGCTCGGCTTGGATGAGTAGTTTTCACATACTTATTCTTTTAAATTTTTTTGAGGATAGCATGTGTGTGTATGTTCATGTGTGTATGGAGGTTTCCTTTGTCCTCAATCATTCTCCACATAATTCATCTTCTTTGAGGAAGGGACTCACTGAATAGCTCTGGCTAGCCTCAAACTTATAGCAACCTGGCTGCCTCATGAGTGCTGGGATAACAGACCCTGCAACCTTATTTTTCAAGAAAGGATCTCTCACTGAACCTGGAATTCACCATTGTTGCTTTGCCAGTGAGTTATAGGGATTCTCCTGTGTCTACCTCCCTAGCTCTGGATTTTATAAATGTATACTTCTGTACCTGGGTACTGTAGATCAAACTCAGGTCCTTATGCTTCCTTTACAAGCACTTGACTGACTGAGCCATCTCCCCAGCCCTTATTCTGACTCTTTCTACATCATTTTCTCCAGTTGGAGAAGACTATTCTTACACTGAGAGAAGCACTAATTCTCACAAATACTATTTCTTCCCTCAAATAAAACACAAATGATGCAGATTTACCAGCCATCTAATTATTATATATAACGATGAACAATTTTAAGTTGAAAAGAACTACACTTGAGTTCTTTAAAAGCAAAAACCTATGTATTTTTCTAAAGTACCTAGCATCCTGACTTTATAGTAATATAAATAATACATTTATAGAATATAGATACTAGTCATTTTATAAAATATATTCAAGACCTCTGAAGAATAAAAAGTGCCCTTCATCACTAAACCATCTCTCCAGCCAACAGAGTATTATTTTTAAGTTACTCTAGGGACAAACAATAAGGCCACAAGCAAGCTAGCTAAGAGCTGCCACAGACAACTACTATATCCCCAGCCTAATTGATGTTTTTAATCCACACTTTAGTTTCTATTTAATACTTTTCATAACAGAATATTAAATGGTATATCATTTGAATTGTTTTATTTTGAACAGTAATCTTAAATTCTTTTCAATGTCCTTTAAAAACAGAAACATATGACTCTGAAACAAAACCAGTATAATCAACGATAAAACAAAATTCTTTTAGCAACTAATAATGTCAGTGAGAAAGCGCAGAGATTAAGGGACTTGATGCCAAGCCTCACAATTTAAGTTTCATCCCTGGAACCTACAGAATGAAAAGAGAAAGCAACTCTCTGACCTCCACACAGAGCTTGTGGCACACTCACCCACAAACATATACACAAAATAAAAAGGTACATTTAAAAAAAGAGGAAAAGAAAGAAAAGAAACCAATAGTAGAAATTGGCTTCTTGGCACAAGTATGAAGAAATTGTTTGGCAGATTAAAAAGATACTGCCATTAGATCCCTCAAAATATTTCTGAAATGTCCACTTCCATGGAAAAATCAAGAGCTTCCTAACTAATTAATGGTATCTTTCAGAAGGAAAGGGGGCTTATCTTCTGAGTATCAATAAGTCTTTCTTAGAATCTATAACAATCAGCAAAAGTTAGCCAGCTATATCATAATGGCTCCACTGAGTTGATTATGAAATTTATAATAAACCCCACACACAGGGCAGTGAGATGGCTAAATGGGAAAAGGAAGGTGTTTGTCACACAAACTTGGTTATCTGAGTTTTCGATCCTTAGAATCCACGTAAAGGTGGAAACAGAACAAAGTGGGCTTCTGACCTCCACCTTTATGAAGGGGCACATGTGTCCACACACATACACATTAATATATTAATTTTTTAAAACCTGACACTCGAGACTTTATAGTTTCATGTTGTTTAATACTCATCTAACTTAAGATAAAATCCCTGAAAGCAAAGGACAACAGTTTACAGATTAAGCCTTAGGACATAGCTAGGAAGTAATCACATCTCAACAGAACCTACATTGGCCCCCTCACTGTTCTTTTTATGCTGCATCACAGATATGTAAAATAAATTTATAGTTTTTTTCTAACTATTAAAAAATGTTCTTTACCTTTCACCAAAAGCAAGAAAAAAAGGGAATAAAAAAAAAAAACACCCTATAAACAACACTCAAAGTTTTCTATGAACTCATCATAAAAGGAAAACAATATTACACAATTACAGGGGCTGGAGAAATGGCTCAGCGGTTAAGAGCACTGGCTGCTCTTCCAGACATCCTGATTTCAATTCCCAGCAATTACATAGTGTCTCACAACTACCTGTAATGAGAACTACCTGTAATGAGATGTGGTGCCCTCTTCTGTCCTGCAGGCATTCATGCAAGGAGAACACTGTATACATAATAAATCTTTAAAAAAAAAAAAAACCCACACAATTACAAAATATATCAATTCACGACCATGACAATTGTCAGTTAGTACAACAGTCCAATTGTTTATTTAATCACAAAAATAACATGCATTCTGTGTTTTCTTCCATCAGTTGATCTCTCCTAACTTCAAGACATCCATTCAGCCAACTCTTTATTGACATTAGTTCTGTTCTGTTGTGTCTCATAAAAGAGGCACAGTCACAATTTAAGTGTCACAAGTCATGGTTTCAGATCTAAATTTTAAAACCAAAGATGGGGCTAGAGAGATGTCT